CTTTTGGTAACTGCCCATTAAAATAATAATAGTTTTTATGGTTTAGGGTTTGTGTTAGGAAGAGGGTTAAGGGTTTTGGGTCCAGCTTTGGTTTGAAGTGATATTAGTTCATGTTTTTTCGGAAATTTTCTTGGACGTTTGTATATTCTAATGGGGCACTTTTGGTAAACTATTAAGATGTTGTCCAACGTTTATTTAAGCATCTAGCACTTTTGGTAACTATTTGGATTAGTGTACAACTATCCTATATTAGTTAGTGTGTGGTGGATGTTAGTCAGTGTGTTGTGGATATTATTTTAGTGTGTGTTGGATGGTTAGTCAGTGTGTTGTGGATTTTAGTCTGTAATATTTACAATATTATTTAGGTGTCACTAGATATTTGTTAGAGATATTTGGATATTGTTCTGTAGGGTTTAGGGTTTAAGGGTTTAATGGTTTAGTTTTTAGGGTTTAGTTTTGGCTTGAATTGATATTAGTTCATGTTTTTGTGTATTTGACTGGGACGTTTGGATGTTCCAATGGAGAGCTTTTGGTAACTGCCCATTAAATAATAATAGTTTTATGGTTTAGGGTTTGTGTTGTGAAGAGTGTTTAGGTTCTAGCCTTTGGTTGAAGTGATATTAGTTCATGTTTTCGGAAATTTTCTTGGACGTTTGTATATTCTAATGGGGCACTTTTGGTAACTATTAAAATGTTGTCCAACATTTATTTAAACATCTAGCACTTTAGGTAACTATTTTCATTAGTGTACAACTATCAAATATTAGTTTAGTGTGTGACGGATATTAGGCTGTTATATTTACAATATTATTTAGGGGTCACTAGATATTGGTCTAAGACGTTTGGATATTATTCTGTAGGGTTTGTGTTAAGGTTTAGGGTTTAGGGTTAAGGGTTTTAATTGGTTAGTTTGAGAGTTTAGTGATTAGGGTTTTAGAGTTAAGTTTTGTTTGTTTAGGGTTTAGGGTTCGGATTTAGGGTACAACTATTAGGTATTAGTTAGTGTGTTGTGGATATTTGTCATTCTTAGTTGTAATATCTTTTATTGATCACATGATTTTTCTCTGAAATATTGGGATATGTTTCTGGGTTGTGTGGATATTTATTTGAACCTGAAGAAATATTCCTTAGTTCATGTGTTTGGATATTTTGTGTGGAACCTTTGAATATTCTCGGCTTGGGCAAACAATTATAGTTTTTATTTTTTATAGTTTAGTGATTAGGGTTTTAGAGTTTATGGTTTAGTTTTGTTTGTTTAGGGTTTAGCGTTTAGGGGTTAGGGTTCGGGTTTAGGTACAACTATTAGATATTAGTTATTGTGATGTGGATATTTGTCATTCTTAGTTGTAATATCTTTTATTGATCACAAGATTTTTCTCTGAAATATTGGGATATTTTTCTGGATTGTGGGGATATTTATTTGAACCTGAAGAAATATTCATTCAGTTCACGTGTTTGGATATTTGTGTGGAACCTTTGAATATTCTCGTTTTGGGAAACAATAGTTTTTATGTTTTAGAGTTTAGTGATTAGGATTTTAGAGTTTAGGGTTTAGTTTGTTTGTTAGGGTTCAGGGGGCAGGGTTCGGGTTTAGGGTACAACTATTAAATATTAGTTAGTGTGATGCGGATATTTGTTATTCTTAGTTGTAATATCTTTTATTGATCACAGGATTTTTCTCCAAAATATTGGGATATTTTTCTGGGTTATGTGGATATTTATTTGAACTTTAGGAAATATTCATTTAGTTCATATGTATGGATATTTGTGTGGAACTTTTGAATATTCTCGGCTTGGGCAAACAATAATAATTTTTATTTTTTAGAGTTTAGTGATTGGTTTGTGGTACAACTTTAGGGTTTAATTTTGTTTGTTTAGGGTTCACGGTTTAGGGTACAACTATTTGATATTAGTTTTGCAATGAATGGATATTAGAAGGGTGTCTATGTGGACGTGTATGACAAGGTTTGTGGTTTTTACATGGATTGGTTTTGTGGCGATCTTCATTGATGTCCTTGTTGAGTTGTTTATCATTTCCAATTCAGAGTCGGATGATGACGATAACACCAGTGAAACTGTATCCATGTTGTGGGGGAGTCTTATCCTTATTTATTTATCTACTTACTAGTATCATTGTTGAAATGAACTATTATTCTGTGTTCAGTATCCATCCTTCACCAACCCAGTATCCATGTCTTTATTAAACTATGCGGATATTAGTTTAGGACGATCGAATATTTGGTTGTGTTATATCAAGACTCACCTAAGTAATATTGGACCTCACAGAACTAATATGAGAGCATAATATCCAGACAACGCAGATTAATATCCATATATTTCATAACTAATATCCAGACCCTAACATAATAATATTCCAGAATAACAAACTCAAATTCATAATAAAAAAGAGTTCTTTATCGACAAACCGCGATAAAACTAGTATTCAATGCCATTACAACTTGGCAATCCCAGAATCTCAAATCCGAAAAAGCACAAGCACATAAGAAATGAGAAAGCAATAGTTTTAGCCAGTGATGTGCCTCCACCTCCCCTTCTCATGGAGGAGCTGGAATCGAACAGCTTTTGGATCTTGTCATCTTGCAAAATTCCTGAAATACATGGAAAGAAATCATTAGGCATATGCACAGTCCAGACTAATATCCATATAGGGCATACAGATATCCAGACCTAGCATACAAATATCCATGCATCATGGGCATGCTAAATATCGACATTCAACAAATTGGTATCCCAAACATGTTAAATAATATTTTAGGTCAACAAACTACCATATTAACGAGCAAAACTCAGAACCCCCAAAACAATATCCACATTCAAACAAAATGATATCCTAGGCATGCTAGATAATATCCCCGATCGACAAACTACCTATTAACCAGCAGAACTCAGAACCCCCCAAACAATATCCACATCCAACAAACTGATATCCAAATCATGCTAAATAATATCACATGTCAACAAACTACTATATTAACGAGCAAAACTCAGAACCCCCCAAATAATATCCACATTCAACGAACTGGTATCCCAAACATGCTAAATAATATCTCATGTCAACAAATTACTATATTAACAAGCAAACTCAGAACCCCCCAAACAATATCCACATTCAACGAACTGGTATCCCAAGCATGCTTAATAATATCACATGTCAACAAACTACTATATTAACGAGCAAAACTCAAAACCCCCCAAACAATATCCACATTCAACGAACTGGTATCCCAAGCATGCTAAATAATATCTCAAGTCAACAAACTAACATATTAACGAGTAAAACTCAGAACCCCCCAAATCGAATCCCAAGGCATAGAAAGCGAATCTCAAATCCCCCCGACAAGAATCCCAGATTCCTAACAACAAATCTCAAATCCAAAAAATGAAGCAAAATCAAAAAGAACTCAAATCCAGTTGAATCCATGAACCCTAATCAAATAACAAGAATCCCAAATCTCCCAAATCTAATCTCAGATCCCAACCACAGAAAATCCCAGATCCCCCAAATCGAAAGAAACCCAAATCCCCCAAATCAAAAGAAACCCAAATCCCCCAAAACGAATCCCAAGGCACAGAAAGCGAACCTCAAATCCCCCGACAAGAATCCCAGATCCCCAACAACGAATCTCAGATCCAAAATGCGAAGCAAAAAAAAATTCAGATCTAGTCGAATCCGTGAAACCCTAAATCAAATATAAAGAATCCCGAATCTCCCAAATCAAATCCCAGATCCCAGACATAGAAAATCTCAGATCCCCCAAATCGAATCCCAGGGCACAGAAAGCGAATCTCAAATCCCCCGACAAAAATCCCAGATCCCCAACAATGAATCTCAGATCCAAAAAACGAAGCAAAAAAAAAAAAAACTCAAATCCAGTCGAATCCATGAAACCCTAAATCAAATATATGTAATCCAACATTTCGTATCCATGAATCAAGGAAGGAAAATGGTAAAACACCTACCTCAAAGATTTGCCTTCACCGTCGCGTTGGTGCCCTCAATGAATCAGGAGAAAGGAAGATGCTTACCTCAAAAACTTTCTTCTCTTCGCAGCCGGTGTCGTCGTCTTCCTCGCGCTGCCGATGTCGTCGTCTTCCTCGCTCTACCGGCGTCGATGTCTTCCTTCTTGCTCGGCTGACTTTTTCTTCCTTCAAGCACCGCTACCGGCATCACCAAGCACCAGCTTATTCTCCTTGCGTTGTCGTCTTCTTCCCGCCCGCGGTCCTCATCGCCGCCGTCGTGTTTCTCACAGCCGCCATTGTGAGAGGTTTTTGCGTTAGAGAGAGAGAGAGAAGAGGCTGGTCGAGAATTTTGGAGAGTGAGAGAGAAAGGAAAATGAGTGATGGAGAAAAAATAGGAGATTAAACAGAAATAAAAGAGTAGGATTTTTTAGAATTGTGGGACCCAATTTTTTGAAATTTGGGAAGATGCTTGATTTAGCCAAACCGCATGTTTCTCTCTTCCCCTCACATGGTGGCGCCGATCCTCCTCCACCGTCGGATCACAGCTCGCCGACGTGGCCTCCCATCCAGCCCTGTTAGTATATACTAACAGCTTATGCTGTTAGCAGAATAACCATATTGCGTATAATATATGTCTGATCTCTGGTCTATACTTTTAGTCTCTCGATTTGGACCGTAAATCGTCTAGACCAGACCACACTGTTTCCCGGCTACGACTATGAGATTGCTATCTAGCACTCTAATCAAGCTAGTTAAGTGTTTTCATCTTGGGCCTCGTTGGCAAGCCTATCGGTTCAGTGTTTGGAGTTTGAGCTCTGCAAGATTGGGCTTCGAGTATTGGCTGACTTGCCATTCACTTCGTTGTCTATGCTGCGCCATGCGAACACCGACTATCCAGAAACCCAATATCCAGAGCTTTCTGAAAAGACACTTTATTGATTGACAATGGTAGGGACCACGAACGACCTTTACAATTTCTAACAAACCTACTCCTCTAGTTCTTTACTTCTTAGCTTGTTGCTAGTTGCTACCTGCCACCTATCCTCCGCCACTTCACGTTCGCCTTTTGTCTTGTCCTATGCGGACGCTGGAGCCGAATTGCCGTCCGCCAGACATATAATACCCCTTTCTTTCTGCAGGCCTCGTGTTAGTCACAGCTAGACTCCAGAACCAACAGAGCCACAAAATTCCTATTCAATTCACTTTCGGATCAACCTTTTGATTCCCCCTTCTTAATTACTTATATACTCTTGTACTAATCTTTTTTTATGGGCTTGTGTGTAATCCACTAACAACCGCAAAAAAGCTGAAGGCCGAACCCCGTTTCATCTCTCTCACTCGATTGCCTACAAAGAGTCGGAAATCCCTTCGCTTTTCGCCTCTGTCCTCGTTCCTTCCTTACATTCTCCGTTGGGTTGGCTCTGGTTGGCCGATTTCTGTTACCCCTTTGAGAATTTCGGATTCGGATTGTTTCTCTGGGGCGATCTGGTTGTCCTTTGTTTTCTTGATCTGTTCTCTGTGAAGGGTGAGGGAAAGGGGATAATGGGGACTTTGAGGGCGATTCTGAAGCACCCAGATGATGTTTACCCGCTATTGAAGCTCAAAATGGCGGCGAGGAGCGCCGAGAAGCAGATCCCGCCGCAGCCTCATTGGGGATTCTGTTACACAATGCTTCACAAGGTGTCTCGTAGCTTTGCTCTTGTGATTCAACAGCTGGGAACCGAGCTCCGTGACGCTGTAAGCTTCTTCTGCTCTTTTTTTTCTTTTTAAAAAGGTTTTGCCTTGGGAATTTGATTTGCGAATTCTTTGAGCTACTGTGATTTCCCCCCACTGAATTCTGCATTTGCTCGTTGCTTTGATAAGCTATGCATCACTTTTTCGATTGACAAGTGTTACTATGCTGCTGCTTTACTTTCTTTCTTTTCCACGTTCATGCATGATTTGGGTAAAAGGGAAAAGACTGGTGTGCAGTTTTAGTAATCTAATCTCTGATTCTTGAGGTGTAAAGTGTGAATGATTTAATGGCCACAAATGACCTTTCAACTGTATCAATTTTCCACAAGCAAGATATCATCTTTCTTTATGACTTTTCGTTCACGATAGTGACACGCACTAAAAGGCTTGAAATATGTGTTTTCTCTGCAAATTCGATGTCTTTTTTTCTTTTCTCAAAATCGGAAAATTTGCTTGATTTTGGTGATTATGGTTGAGATTGTTGTACTATTGACTGTTATCGAGTCTTAACGACAAGTGAAGCTATTCATGAAATTGGACTCGTTGTTGGCCTGAAGCTATTATTATCTTTCTCTACCCAGTGAATGTTAATGGTGCTATGGAACTTTGATCTGTACCAAGTACCAACAACACGACGATCTCTGATTGCCTTTATATTATACCTCATCCTTGTCTACTTGTGCGCCAGAACTTGATAAACATATTTCTAGCCAGGCTATATTTTGAGGGTTGCACTTGCATAAATAGTCAATCTGCTAAGTTGCTGTTCCTTTTTTGCCTTGATTTTTGCAGGTATGCATCTTCTACTTGGTTCTTCGAGCCCTTGACACAGTTGGTTTGTCTCTATCTATGAAACTAGACTCTGATATTGTCTTTATGTTTATCTCTTACTATGTGGTTTATTGTGTCTAAAAATGTCAACTAGCTTGACTTATGCTTCAGACTTAACCAGTGAGTTTAATCATTATTATGAAAATCAAGCCAACTTTCAGATAACTTAACTGAATTTTGAGTTGATCTTTCTGTTTAAGACCACCATCACAAAGCCTCATTTTTCAGTGGTGACCGCAGTCTGTGGCAACTGCTATATTTGGAGTGTGTGAAAATGGAGGAAGAATTCTTTTCCACTTGGTGCTGCGAGTCAATGGATGTTTATGTACTGTTCTGTTCTGTTAATTATTTTGTAGAGGATGATACAAGCATAGCTACAGATATAAAGGTGCCTATTCTGAATGCTTTTCACCGTCACATATATGACAAGGAGTGGCACTTTTCATGTGAGTCTTAAGACCTCCTTAGTGCTCCTTCTGAAAGCTTCACTTATGAAAGTATTCTATATTACCGTTTTTTCCAAATTTCAGTTTTCTGGATGTAATATACTAAAAAACTTGATTCCTTAAACTGGAATCCTTCTGCTCACACGGGCTAATTCTTTCATTTGCTTAAGGTGGTACGAAGGAGTATAAAGTTCTGATGGACGAGTTTCACCATGTTTCGACTGCGTTCCTAGAGCTGGGAAAAGGGTATGTATCTTATGAACATAATTGGACCCGGCCTTTTTTCTGAAGTTCTTGTGCCATGTTTTTTCCACACGACCGTAACATAATTTCCAGCTTAGATGTCTGTAGCAAGATTAGTACTTATACTGCGGATTCACCCTTAAGTTATGCGATTTACTCTTTGATAATATTGACCTTTATTTACAGCACCTGATTCTAGGATCGTAGTTTACGTGTGGGCAGAAAGATTTACATATATGACCAGATTTGAGCACAACTAGACAATAACCTTTCGAGTATACAGCTAGAGTTGTGGAGCAATTTAGTGATGGATGTATTTTGCAGCTGTAGAGGTTAGGCTGGTATGTTCTAGCAGAGTAGCATTTACAAGTTTGTGAGTTAGTTTGCAGATATTGTGTATATTGCTCCAAATCTAATGATTTACAGTGAATTATTGTGATAACTCGCAAATATTGAAGCTTTAAGCGCATTTACCCATTGATATTTATTTGTTTCTATGACCCTGTGCTTGAGAATGTCTCATTAAATTAAAATGTTTTACAGCTATCAGGAGGCGATCGAGGATATCACCCAAAGAATGGGTGCTGGTATGGCAAAATTTATCTGCAAAGAGGTTAGTTATACTGGTTTTTTTATATGGAACCTTTGATAGGACATGTATTGATGGGAACGAACAAGCCTAGTTGGTAGATGATTCGAAAGGCTGATATAATTATGTGCTTCACGTATTGATGCAACATACAAATTGGAAATGGGAATGCATTACTATAATTGCAAGTACAAGTGAAATGCGAGTGAGATATATGTTTAAGCTTCAGATTCTGCTTTCTAATTTTGAACTTAAAACATTCAAATGATCCAGGTGGAAACAGTTGATGACTACGATGAGTATTGCCACTATGTAGCAGGACTTGTGGGACTAGGACTGTCAAAGCTTTTCCATGCTTCAGGAAAGGAAGATTTACAACCAGACAGCCTGTCCAATTCAATGGGATTATTTCTTCAGGTATCACCATTGTGCATATCTAAAAGTGATTTTCACTTGAAATGTTAAATTTTGTCCGGGCTTTGACATCTTTGTACTTCTACACGTGTCTTACTTGATAATTTGGGGAAAAAACAGAAAACAAACATCATTCGAGATTATTTGGAAGATATAAATGAGATACCTAAGTCGCGCATGTTTTGGCCTCGTGAAATCTGGAGCAAGTATGTTGACAAACTTGAGGTAAGTAGAAAATTTGTCGCCAAACATGCACGCAAGACACTGTTCTGGGTAATAGTTCTTGTCTGACTGGCATTTCTTCATATTACAACCCTCAGGACTTGAAGTACGAAGAAAATTCAGTGAAGGCAGTGCAATGTTTGAATGATATGGTCACCAATGCATTGATACACATGGATGACTGTGTGAAGTACATGTCTGATCTTAGAGATCCTGCTATATTTCGGTTTTGTGCCATTCCTCAGGTAGGAGAATCTGCAGCTGACAATGAAGAACCTTTTTGTGTTCACAAATTTCTTTCTATGAAATATGAATGCATTAGCATGCCCCTGGCTCAAACAAATTTGTAAATCAAATGTTCCACTTGGTCTCATTCCATTTCTTGTGGTTTTCTTTTCAATAAGCAGGCTTCTGGTGTTCTTTTGCCGGTGCTTTATTCAAACTTCAATTGTGGTGTTTTTACCCCACTTGTACCAAGATCATTTTTCTTTGTTGACCTTAGGTTATTTATACATGTGCCTATTTTTGTAGTCCTAGGGAAAAAGTTTCCTTAGTCATGAGTAGTTTGTGAAATGTTGTATTTTCAACTCCTGTTTTTATCAGTCACTAGTGAGCTTGCTTCTCATTTGAGTTCCATCAATTGATAGATAATGGCAATTGGAACTCTGGCAATGTGCTATAACAACATCGAAGTCTTCAGAGGAGTTGTGAAGATGAGGCGTGGTAAGATTGATCTATACTGTGATTTTCTTTCTAGTGAATCCAAGAATGTAGCAAACACAATATCATGTGAGAATATGTTAATTGATGGTCTACACTTTGTTCATTTGTCTCTAGGTCTTACTGCTAAAATTATTAATGGCACAAAAACCATGGCTGATGTTTATGGGGCTTTCTATGACTTCTCTTGTATGCTGAAGTCTAAGGTACAGTTTGTCTGTTAACTTCGCACGACTTAGTATCCTGCAATTGACTTGGGTACCAAATGCAAAGATACCTCCCAAAGCAGACTTGAGTAACTGTTGTGCGTTGCTGGGACCAAAATATGTAGGTTGACAAGAGTGATCCAAATGCATCAACAACATTAAGCAGATTGGAAGCTATCCAAAAGACCTGCCGAGAATCTGGATCTCTCACCAAAAGGTTTAGATATTGCATTATAATTGGACTTACATTTTTCTATGTTGCGTTATTTGGCTGACTTCTTTTGATTTTGGCAGGAACTCTTACATTCTGGAGAGCAAGAAGCAGCACAATCTCTTCCTGGTGAGTTCCTGATATTTATTCAGAGGTTTAACGTCAGCTTCATTCCGTACTAACTGTTCTAAATTTCTAATGAAATAAACATCATCTGCATCACAGTTTTGGCTACTATCATGACTTCTTTAAAAGAATGGCAACTGATTTTCTTTATTTCTGTTATACAGACTGTTGTGCTTATCATTATCCTAGCCATCATCTTCGCTCGTCTGACCGGCACCAACCCAGCCAACTAGGGTAATTTTGTGCTATGTACATGTTTTTAAATCAGTGATGAAAGTGGGATCATTATTTCACTTGACTAAAAAATCATTGCTCCTCTCTTCTGCAGATGGACCAGGTCCGCGAAGCCGCAAATGGCTGCCTGTATTATTTTCTTGTTCATGGAAGCTTTAATGGCTTATGTGTTTGTAAACTTTTGGCCATATCATATGGCAGTGCTTGACCTTTAAATACATGAATGAATGAACAAATTAGTGTTAAATGTTTATTATCGTGGAGAATGAATTAACAATCCTATTCACAAGTTCGATCAATTCAATTACTTTTGTTATGTTGATTACTTAGAAGCTGTATAGTTAGCTTATCTTCACAGCACAATCAGACCATTGCTGCAAGAAACTAACATTGATTTCTGTACAATTACGTTATGTTATAGCGAAATGAAACTATTACTGCAAAAAATACACAGGATAAACTGACTGTCATATACTAGCAAGAGGGCATGAATATTTTTGGTACCTAAATCACAAAGAGGAAAAAGCAAGAGATGAGACAATACAGAAAAGTTCAAGTCTTTAAACCACTTCAGGCTATTTTGCTCGCCAGGACTCTCTCCCTTCCTTCGATATATCCAAATGGGAACCAACCTGCTCTCCCTTTGCATTCCCCTCCCGCCCACCCATTACTTGTCGCCTGCATACATCCATACATATAGGATCAGTTGTTCATTCTCACATCCCAAATGCGGTGGCCTGAATACGAAAACATAGATTCCACCATTCTGGTAAGTGGCGAACCTCTCTGACCACAACAGTCACCGGCTGACAGAGACAGCTCAAAGTCAGTTTCGGCATTGTAAGGATGCATAACCTGTGGCATAATATCAGGCATTGTTAGCATTTCCTGGCAAACATAATTCATAAATCTCATCAGGTCGAATGGAGCAAGAGAGAACTTGGATAAGATCATAAGAACCTCCCCTAAGAAATATCCCCTACTATCTGTAAAGCAACTTTGTGTTTGAGAGGCATTTTGGACCGTAGTAAATGCTCTCAAAGCTGTAATTGTTGCGCAGTTAATAGCAATAATTCATTGTGAAGCATCACCTTAGAGCAATATACACAAGAATTTCTGCAAACTACATCTCACAAACTTCTAAATGCTACTCTGCTATAATATCTAATTTCTACGGCTGCAAAATACATTCATCACTAAGTTGCTCCGGAGCTCTAGCTGTATACTGGAAAGGTTATTGTATAGGTGTGCTCAGATCTGGTAATAAATGTAAATATTGCTTCCCACATGTAAGTTACGATCCTAGAATCAGGTGTTGTAATTTATAAATGAAGGTCAATAGTATCAAAGAGAAACTCACAGAGGGGTGAATCAGTTGCTGATTCACTTTTTGTCTTGACTTTTGCAGGTATGTATCTTCTACTTGGTTCTTCGAGCCATTGACACAGTTGGTTTGTACCTAACTACCTATCTATGAAGCTTGGACTCTGATGTCTTCTTGTTTATATCTTACAATGTGGTTTATTGTGTCAAAAATACCAGCTAGCTTGACTTATGCTTCAGACTTTACCAGTGAGTTTAAACTTTGTTATGAAAATCAAGCCAGCTTTCAGGCAACTTCATGTTGTGTTGATCATTCTGTTTAAGCACCACCTTCGGAAAGCATCATTTTTCAGTGGAGACCTCAGCCTGTGGAAGCTGCTATATTTGGACGGCCAGAAAATGGAGGACGACAATTGATTTCTCCTAGGTGCCGTGGGTCACTGGGTGTTTATGTACTGTTCTGTTATTTAGTTTGCAGCGAATGATACAAGCATAGCTACAAAAATAAAGGTGCCTATTCTGAAAGCTTTTCACCATCACATATATGATGAGTTTTGCGATCTCCAATCTCAGTATTCTGGATGTAAGAATTAATCGAAACTAAACTTAAAGACTCCAGAACGGAACAACAAAGTTTACATTTATTATCAGATTTGCGCCCAATTAGACAGTAACCTTTCCAGTATACGGCTAGAGCTCTCGAGCGTAGTAAATGCGCTTAAAGCATGGAAAGAATGAACACAAAACAGCCAACCTATAACGAGAAAAAGAGTAATGACGAAATGTATAATGAGGATCCATCAACCCAAACAAGAATCGTAAACTATAATGCAATCAAGCAGCTGAGGATCTACCTGTGAAATGATAATTGACTTACAGCTATGCATCTTCAACACTACTTCCACATATGGCTGTCTCCCTATCTCGAAGCATCATCAGTTAAATTTTAACAACATTGTTGATTCAATGGGACTGTTGTCTCAAAATGCCCATTTCTATGAGCTTCTTATGCAACTCATCAGCTTCATTAATCATACCATAATCCGCAACACCTTTAATCACAGCAGAATAAGCATCCTCATCTGGCTTGTATCTCCCAGAGATCATAAGCTCCAGAACTTCAATTGCCGTGTCCACATGTTGCTTTCTGCATAATCCTTGGACCACTAATTTGAAAGCACTACCATTGATACGATGATCCCTTTTCACCATCTCCCTCAATATCACTACTGCTTCCTCAACTTGACCCGCCCAGCAAAACGCCCAAACTAGAGAACGATGGGTGATGCCATCAGGCTTTATCCCATTTTCCAGCATCCGACTGTACAATCCCAATGCTTTCTCCACATAGCCCCTTCGACCAAGTCCGTCTATTAGAGTGTTGTAAGTTATCAACCCAGGTGGACAGTCACTACCATCTAAAATGCCGAATAGTTCAAGGGCCTCATCTACCATTCCTTCTCTACAAAAAGCAGCAAAGAGAGTGTTATACGTTATAATGTCGGGCGAACAATTTTGGTCAACCATCTGGTTGAAGAAGTCAATGGCTCGAACAAGATCACCACATTTGCAGAGACCATTGATTAAGATATTGTATGTAACCACAGTAGGACTATAAGGACTTATTTTCATAAGTGCAAGGATCTCATCAGCTTCATCCCAGTAGCCACAGCTAGAAAGAGAATGGATGAGTGTGTTGTAAGTCACTGCATTTGGTTCCATTCCATGTGATAGAATGTTACTTAAGACTAAAGCTGCATCTTCAAACTTCCCCTGTTTGCATGTGAGATTGACTAATGAGTTGTATGTAACCAGATCAGGAAAGCAGCCTTCATTTGCCATATCTTCCAATACCTCCACAGCCCGAACAGCCCCACAATGCTTGCAGACAAGTTCTATGAGTACTGTGTAGGTTATCAAGTATGGAGGGCAACCCCGCCTTACTTGCACTTTCCAAAACTTGATAGCTAGTTCAAAATTCCCTCTCTCAAACATTGCCCGTATTATCGTGTTGTAAGTAATTACATCAGGAGGACAACCACTCAGGCTCATATCATCCAGAAGATCGACAGCAGAATTCACATGCCCTCTCTTACAAAACCCACCAACCATCATATTGTATGTGATAACATCTGGCACACCACCTGACAACACCATGATTTTGAGAACTTTGACAGCTTTATCCATCCGGTCCATTCTAATAAGACCTCTTATTAGGTTTGTGCAGCATGTATACCCTGGAATCTGGCTTCTCCGTGCCATGGTATCTATTAGCTTTGCTGCGTCGAGTAACCTACCTCTGCTGCACAGGTTGTGAAGGATTTCGTTATTGGTTTCCTGTTCATTCTCAACTATCCGTCCATCACTTGAAGAAGATTGCAGAGACATATCCTTCTTCCTAATCTCATCATGCTCCGTGGAGCTCTGATCAATGGGCTCCAAACCAGATTCCCATTCGTTGTCATCAACTTCATCAATGAGAGCACTTTCATGCATTATCCTGGATGTCAAACTTCTCTCTGCCCTAAGATATTCCTTTGGGCGAACACATAGCTGATGCTGGATTATGTGATCAAACTTCAGGGAACTATTCAGATGGAGCAATGAAGCCTTTGCTGTTGGGGGATGGCACAAACCAAAACCGCAGCCGGCTTGTTGTTCAGGTAACCAACTCAACTTATCCAAAGGACGAACTACATGCCCCATTCTGCCGAACTCACCAAATATCTCCCGTCCTTCACCCAGATCCTCTGCAAATGTTGCACGCCTAAACATGATTAAGCATACATTGCAATTCGTAATTGTAAAAATAACTGGTAGATTATAATTCGTTATTGGAAAAGCATCAACCAACCGCTACAAGTTCAGAAGCTAGTAGAATGAGGAGAGTTGACAACAGAAACCCATCTTAAGATGTAATCAACCAAAGCTTCGGTTGCCAGATAATCATAATATCCCAGAAGCCAGCATTTCAACACCCTAAACGTTCCTGTATTCCTCCAAAGCCAACCCCAATAGACCAAAGAAACTAACAGATGAAATGTAAGCACCTGAATTCTGAAAACCTCCTATAAGCAAAGCGTCAATAAAGACGGCACCTCTGCCGACTGAGCCATGAAAGTTTAAAGAACAGACCCAAAAGGGAAAAGCCAGAACGATTAACAAAGACAAGTTCTTAGCTTCCCACTCCCTGGTCGCAAATTCTAAAATTCCACTCGGCGAAAAATCCACTGCGTATAGACACAACAAGCATTATAGCTTGTAACAAGAACATCAGGGCAGAGATAAACTCTTTGCCTAGTAACAAAACCCCACTCCATAACTCAAATAACATACAAAATAGCCTATAGCCCAGATTAGCAAATAACGGTAGGAACAAGCGAGTATAAGAAGAAAGGACGAACCTTTGAGCGAGAAACCTTGGAATCCTTGGAGATAATAGTTCGACTGCTTAAAATGTTGTTTGCAGGGTCGTCTTTGGTTTTGGAAGAAGTATGTTGTTCAGTTGTGCGGAAGAACTGAAGGGAGAAAGACCTAGGAACTAGGAGTGTTTTTTGTTTTTTTGTTTTTTTGCCATGCTGAGATTGGGCTTTTTTCGCATCCACCATAAGGAGCCTCAACTAAAGATTGGGCCACACGTATGAACATCACTATTGGGAGTAAAAAGCCCAAATATGATAGTGCAGTATTTACTTCCTCGTGGAAGCTTTACTAGCGTATGAATGAACCAATTGCTCTGTTGTGTTGATTACTGTGCAGTACTTTTGTTATGTTGATTACTTAGAAACTGTGTAGTTACCTTGTCCTCAAAGCAAAATGAGACCATTGCAGCAAGACAATAACATCGATTTCATCGTTTTAGCTCATGCAAATAACGCAGAAGTAATTCATCTGTACCATTACATATACGTTGTAACGAAATACGACGTACTGCAGAAAGATAACCCCGATTTCACATTTCATCGCACACAACTTATGCAAAGATAATACACAGGACAAACTGACTATCATATACCAGCAAGGGATCATGAATGTTATTGGCACCTATATCACAAGGGGAAAAAGGCTTGAGATGAGAACTACTGCGCAAAAATACAGGAAAAGAGAGAAAAGGGGCTCATTGGAGTTACGAGGAAGAGCTAAAAAACAATACACACATTCATACATTGGGAGAAAAAACGAACAGCCCCCAGAGAGCAGCAATCTCAACAAAAAATTTCAAGCCTTCAAAACACTTCAGCTATTTTGCTCGCCAGGACTCGCTCCCTTCGTTCGATATATCCAAATGGGAACCAACCTGCTTTCCCTTTGCATTCCCCTTCCGCCCACCCATTATTCGTCACCTGCATACACCCGAGAAATATAGGATCAATCGTTCATTCTCACAGCCCAAATATGTCTTAATACGAAAACTTAGATTCTGGTAAGTGACAAACCTTTCTGACGACAACATAGTCACCGACTGAGAGGGAAAGCTCAACGCTAGTTTCGGCATTGTAAGGATGCATAACCTGTGGCACAATATAGATATAGTAAGTGTTTCCTGGCGAGTATAAATCTCATCAGGTCGAATGGAGCAAGAGGGAAAACTTAGATACAAACCTCCCCTAAGAAATATCCCATACTATCTGTTGAGCCATTTTGTGTTTGAGAGGCATAAACACCATTGACTTCTTCGTATGGAGGTGGTGGGGGCATGTTGTTGTTCTCGACGGGTGGTGGAGGTGCTTCAATCCTTTGTCGTTCTGATATCATCTATCCCCAACAAACAAAAGGTCATAAGTGGCTATCCCTTTCAGAGGGCAGCTTTAGGACTTAAAAATGCATGGCATACCTCAGTTTCGAGCTGATCGAGTATTTGAAGAACTCTTTGGTGATAAGTTCTTTCTGACTCAACCTTAAAGTAACACGAACAACATAAGACGAAGCTTCTGCTACAATCTATAACAAATCAAACCCATAACAGAGTGGTAAAATTCTAACATACCATAGATATAAGCCGTTGGAGAGTCAACCTCTGTTGTTGAGCTTCAACAGCTGCCATTGCTGCAGTTGCTTCCTTCCCCAGAATATCCATGTTAGCCTTGAGATCTTGAAGCTTCGACTCTGCAGCTTCCCATTTCATGGAAACCTCAGGATGACCTGGCATTTCCCTTGCTCTTGCCTGCCGTTTAGAAACTTCAATGGCCTGTCTAGCATACAGCAAAAGTGTCGTGCTTGAGGATCCTGATGTCCACTCATAAACCATTCAACTTCATAAAGAGTGCACAGTTGGCCATACCTGCGCTTCAGTTTCTTGTCTCATTCTGTCATAACGTTGAGCAAGATGTCGGGCATCTTCCAGAGGAGCTCCCATCACCATCGCCCTAAGTGGCTCTGCGACCTATTCAAACAAATAAAAAATATTACATATATATTGCACAGAAAAATCAAAGCAGAACAAAGACAAAATATTGTCTCGCGGTCAATATTAAACACTAAGCTTATGAAGCAGACATCATCAGCTTTCAAGTGAGAACAAGACACTTCTAGGTAAAGCACATAGCACGGTGATAGGGTCTGCAAAGGGGGAAAAAAAACATTTTGGACCTTGCTTGAGTGGTATGTTTATACCGAACTCTAGACAAGGGGTATAACCTATTTGTCAGCCTCTAAAGACCTCTGCATTTTTCTATATGCAGCGTATACATACTTTTGATAAAGACCATAAGCGATGGATGTGACCCATAAAGCAAAGAAACAGTGAAGAAAATAAAACATAGATCGTAACCTAAACGCTAGTTGAATCAAACTCAAATAAGTTGATATTCTTATCTCCACTGGTTTACAGCAAGGAAAACTCAAAGAGAACCACACTAAAGGTCAAGTTCAGGTCAAGAACAACAGAGTAAGGACCAATGAGCCAAGAAGGCGAAGTTATAGATCAACAAACTAACCCAGCAATGAGAAACTCCAGTCCTAACAAAAGTAGACTGACCTGTAACTGTAAGCAATCTAAATCTAGAGAAGCATATGACTTGGGAAAAGTTGTTCATAAAACCTGTGTACCAAGAGCTTTCAACAAATTCCCCCGCTCCTTCTCCATCTGAGCACGAGCACGCCCATAATTGAGCGCAGCCTTTGATAATGTGTTGCCACTAGTACAAGTATTTTCAGAGCCATACTTCCGACTATCCTCTGATAACTTTGTTCCTATAGAACACAGCTGAATGTCAAATCTCTAGATGAGATGCTACATTATATTTAGAATGCACACATAATTGGACAAATGAAAATTGAAACTTTCACCAATTAACCTATTTCCACTTGTTTGGATCCAGTAACAATATACCCTTCCACACCACGAACAATATCCCTTTGGAAGTGCTGTAAGATATAGCATTGGGGCCTCATTAGATACCAATTATGTATAAAACATAAATGAAGCAAAGGAAACCCAATGCAGGAAGGCCGGTGCAAAACAGAGTGGACCAACCTTGCCAGCACGAGTCGATATGTAAAGCTTCTCGAGCCTCTGATGCTGATGAAATTCAGCCTCATCAGTAACTAAACCGTCTGAACCTCCATATCCACTCGCACCAAACTGCTTCAGAACAGCCTGTGAACAAACCAAGTCCTGTTAGAATCGCTTGCTGTGATCAAGAAAACTATGGATCCTAACGAAAGGCCCAAGAAACAAAAAGGCCACAAACAACTGTCTTAGAAACATCACAGCAGGATCGGAACTTGAACATAGAAACTTAGTATGTCTGAATAGATATAGCAACTGAACCATGCAAAAGGAATCAACTTTCATCCAGATTCTATTTAATCAAGTGAGGAAGACAGCAACCAACCAGAATTCCCTTCATTACTTCAAATATTAAAATAAAGCCCCCAGATTGTTTCACAACCAATAAAGCTCTCAACTTTCTCCCAATCAAACGCCTCCCAAATCAATGTGAAGGTCCCGGATCACATGCATACACAGAGGAATACCGCAACAATAATCAGTACCCAACGGGCCATTTTTCACAAATTTCTTGATTCCAATTCATTCAAAGCTCGTCGCAATGTTGACCCGCGTAATGTTACCGAATCAATCAAATTGCAACCCCACACACACATAACTCCATTCCCAAATCGAAGGAAACATACACAAGAGGGATCAGACCAGGAAGCAATCACAGGAGTTCACGAGAAGGAGAAGAGAAGGCAGTTGTGGATCTGAAAGAGTTAGGGTTGTAGAGATGTGAGACCTGTTGTTGCTTAGCAACCTGCTCTCGAAGCCTCGTGGCCTGCTTTCTAATGGCTTCCATTCAGCAGGCAGCTGCAGAGATATCGGTATTTGATTTCCTGACGACGCCCCTAAACACGGTGTTCTTAGACAAACCAGAGAGGGGCGGAGAGAGAGAGATGGTTTTGAAAAGGGAGTGCGGGGGTTTGATGGTGTTTCTTTTTTGCCTTTGGAAGAGTCGTTTGGCTGGCTTTGCCTGTCCCTTTCCTAAACTTTTACTCCACAAAAGATAATTGTCTCAGCTTTTGGTCCCTCAACTATTACACATTGTTACCACAGTCCTCTGAATAAACGTGTCCACAGTTTGAATACCCTATCGGACCGGCCAGTCTGACCAGAAATAACAAACACTGGACAGTCCTCTGAAAAAATGTGTCCACAGTTTGAAAACCCTATCGAACCGGTATGACCAGAAATAAAGAACACCGGACTCAAAATGATAGGCGATTTTAGCGCTAGCAAATGGTTGAACCACGGTTGAATTATGAATTATGATCATTTTACTACAAAATATCCTACCATTCACTTTTTCGGTATGACCTCGGTACGGTTTCACAAACCTTGTAAACTTTAATGTAACATATATCAGTTACCAATTCTTTATCCTCTTTTTCAAAGTAACATATAGCAACATATATTAGAACCGAGGAACAAATTAAGAATTAAACGTTCCATGAAAAGGTCAAAGGAAACTAGAACACAATAGGTAAATGTGAGTGCAACCTTCGAATTTTAAATGTTCATGAGGGTGTATGGGTAAAATCTCATCATGAATTTATGGCATATTACAAATTCCACATTAATATATAAGATTTCATTCTACCAAAAAAAAATATAAGATTTCAAAATCCATGAAGTTTACGGATTTGAACCCTTAAAAATCGTGGACTCCATGAATTTGGTCTCTAAAAAAATCATGCAAACGATAAATTTTCCTTAAATCCATAAAGGAATGGATTTGGGTACCAACTACCAACTCTATCATCCAAATCCACGAAGCAAACAACTGTTATTCACAAATTACCAAACTATAGGGACTAGAAATACCAAAACACAAAAGTACGGGTAGTAGAAAACAAGCTCAACATGGTCAGCGGAGAACTGAGAGAAGTTTATCATCATTTCGAGCCAGCCAAACAAAGACCTAAAAACACAGCAAACATCCCCTCTTTCCTCTCCCAGATCTCCCAACCGATTGCCGTCGTCTTCGTCCAACCTGGTTCTCGTCTCTGCCGTCCGCTGCTCGCTCTTCAACGATCTCCGGTTCGATTAGCTTGATCGGAAATTGGCGGGAATGAAAAAGTTCCGTCTTGTTTAGTCCCAGAGCCGCAGCCTGAATAAACCTGCCGGGAATCGTCATGTGGAGAAACTCTGCAAGTCGCTCCTCCAAGCTCATCTGGAACGGCTATGCACTATCACCGTCTTCTCTTTCCACTCTCAGGAGCTCCCGTTCTGTACCGAATTCCGTTTTCCCATTATCGTCCGTTCCCGCCGTCGCTTCCCCTTCTCATTCGCCTTCGGATCCTTCAAAATTAGGGTTTCTGCCGGGGAGATCAGATGGAATCCGAGCTCTATCCTCAGTTCCGTCTCCTGCCGCTGTTGATATCCCTTCGTTGACATATGGAGTTCAATTGGCTCGTCACTACGGCCAATGCTTCTGGGAGCTCTCCAAAGCTCGGCTCAGGTTACCCTTTCTTCACTTCCTTTTCATTTTCCTTTTCCCCATATGTCTCCGAATTCCCTGGCTTTTGAACTCAAGGGTGGGTTGGTTGTGATCGTTATGGGAAATTTGTGGATTTGCAGTATGCTGGTCGTTGCAACTTCTGGGACGGGTTATGTTCTAGGAAGTGGGAGTGCAGTGGATTTCGCGGGACTTTGTTGGACTTGTGCTGGTACAATGATGGTTGCAGCTTCTGCCAACTCGTTGAATCAGGTCTGTCCTAACTAGATGTTTCACTACCCTCTCTTTATCTGGCAAAGCACATAATTAGCCTAGGTGAACATATCTCCTACACCTGCTTAACTTGTATGGAACCCGTGAAGTAGTATATAAATGTGAAACTTCTTTGCTTGGTGCTGTTTTTGGAATCCCTTCCATGATGGAGCTTCTAAATACCTCAACATGTGACTAATGGAATTATGGAAATAATTAAGCTGAGAAGTTGGGATTTCTAATTTGACAATTTTCGCACTTCTTCTATCATTGTCCATTGAAGTTCTTGTATTTCAGCAGCATCATAGCCTTCGTCATATCAGTGACACTATATTGTATGTTGTAGGTCTTTGAGATCAAGAATGATGCCTTGATGAAAAGGACAAGAAATAGGCCGCTTCCTTCCGGGCGTATGTCAGTTCCCCAGGCAGTGGCTTTTGCATCTTCAGTTGGCTTGGCTGGGACTGCTATGTTAGCATGCAAGGTGGCCGAATAATTTCACCGACTTTGTGTAGGCTTAGATAATGATACCAGTCCTTCCCCTGATAGTAGGGAAGTGCTTAACCTGCTTTGAGCTGAGTGACTAATGTTGTACTTGCATGACAAGGTTGTTGCAGACTAATATGATGGCGGCAGGGTTAGCAGCATCCAACCTGGTCTTATATGCATTTGTCTACACCCCATTGAAACAGATCCACCCTGTCAACACGTGGGTTGGAGCAGTTGTTGGTGCCATTCCACCGCTTCTGGGGTACTTTCTCATTCTATTTCTTCTGCATTTTAATAGGTTTCGCTATTGAGCTTTTTGTGTTTATTTATTAATGGGTATGAGAACTACAAGTTCTTTGAATCTATTAATCCCATCTTTAGTAATTGAGGAAACTTTGATCCTAGCAGTCGAGCCTTCTTCCATATGGTTACTTGGTAACTATTAGTTAATGGTTGTTGGACGAGTATTAGAAGCTCCTTCCTTCCGATCCTAAAATAAGCTGAACCTTTCATAATTTAAAGTGATAAACTCATGATTAAGATCCTGGCAGATGCAAGCTCTCCGTGGGGAAGACACAGATGCAATCCTTATGCTTTTTATGCCTTACAACTGTCCTTTAGAAAGGAAATGCATCTCTTCTTATTTTTATTTTTTTGCTTTTCCATTTGGCATACTAGTATGGTCACTAGGAACTTCATGTCAGATAGCATTTAAACTCATATTTTCCCTCTGCATTTCAGGTGGGCTGCTGCTTCTGGTGGTCAGATTTCCCTCAATTCAATGATTCTTCCAGCTGCACTCTACTTTTGGCAAATCCCCCATTTCATGGCACTTGCATATATGTGTCGCCACGACTATGCTGCTGGAGGGTAGGTACATAGCCGATGTCCACTTACGGATGGATGTATTTTTCTAGGTTGAGAAATGTGAATTGAATAAGATAAGGAAATGGCCATGTTAGTTGCATCTGCAAGAATCAAGGTGGCCAGATTCCCTGGTTTTGTTGATTTGCTGTCTTTGAACGTTCAAAAAGTTGGCTTACTACCTTGAGGAGATGAGTTATGTCTTTCCTCAATTTTGTTGATATTTTAGGTACAAGATGCTCTCCCTTGCCGACACTAGTGGCCGAAGAACTGCCATGGTGGCTTTGAGGAACTGTATTTATATGGTGCCCTTGGGGTTTATGGCTTATGAATGTGAGTTGTGGCTAGCTGAAAACCTTTTACCATGCATATCTGTCTTGAACGTGTTTCTCATTCTTGCTCCATGTTTCATGCGTTCATGATCTTTTACACCTATGATCAAAGAGGTCAAGTCTTGTCTTGACCGTTAAATTTTAGAACTGTGCCAAATTCAAGCTTGCTGATGTCTGTCTCTATTTTGATATTCTACCCTGTGACCTCTCAGTGCTCCTATTAGAATTTGAGTGCCTTGCAATGTACTTCAATCTCATTGTATCATCTCGGGGGTTTTAAATGGTGAATGCAGTGGGTATGGCTTCTGGGTGGTTTTGCCTGGAATCATCCGTTCTGACTCTAGCAATCGCTGCTTCGGCATTTTCATTCTACCGGGAACCAACCACAGAGAAGGCCAGGAAGATGTTTCATGCCAGCCTTCTATACCTTCCCATATTCATGGCCGGGATTCTCCTTCACCGACAAACAGAGATGTCAACTGATGAGCTTTCATCTTCTATGAGTGCGGAAGTAGAAGATAGAGAAGACGAGCGAAGCCGAAGCCATGCAAAGAAGAAGGAACTACTGGATGGTTCAAATTTCGGCACACGAGTCCGTGCACCAGTGGCGTATGCTTCTGTTGCACCTTTCCCTTTCCTTCCGGCTCCTTCATATGTTTCGTCATAGTTTTTTTTCCCGGCATTTTTTGGCACTTTACTACCTTCAGTCCTTCACGTTGCAGAAAATCTAGCAATAATGTCATTCTGGGTTGTTGATCATTGGATCATATAGTAACTTGTTGTCCCGGTTCTCACATACTATGGCGGGAATGCTCCTGATTGGACGTCACATTTTTGTAACTTAATAACGCATGAAAAGAAATGCTATTCATGGTTTTGCTGCTTGCTGCCTTTTCTTCCATTATGGTATTCATGCTCTAGTGATCAACAAAAAAGAAGCATATTTAGCAAATAGCTCCACATTGCTCTTTCTGGAGTGGGTGGTCGGCTGTAGTTGGAGTTGCCCATTCAAGTTACTGTGAATATAACAACTCAGTGGTGATAGGGACTGTCCATGACGGGTGGGAGAAAGCAAGCTATCATGAGCAATTTTTTACCCATTCTTTTTCTTGTGGATGTTATTTCCCTTTCTCGTACTTAATGTATGAAAATGAATAGTTTATCATTCAATTTTGTTCGCTGAAAAAATCGACATTCAGTTTTTAACCACTCTGAAAAAATTCATAGATTTGACTAGCGGAATTTAAGATAAATCATGATGATCATGTTCGTCTGATTCATTATAGCATCTTGCAGTGATATAAAGCACTCAATTTAATTATTACTCTTCGTATGTGGTACTCTTTTACTACGATGATAATAAGATTTGAACTAAAGAATTATAATATAACCATTGGGGGCACAGCTACATGCATTCCATTATTGACAGACATTGCTTCCAACATGGATAAAATAAAACATTGTACTATGTTTTTCACCTTTGACCAAAAAGAATCCCATCTCTCTGTCCAATTTCATTCAACCTTTAGATTCTACTACCACATAAAAGAACCAAACAAGACAACTGTAACAACCATTCAAAGTCATAACAAAAAAAAAAGTACTGTTGGGGGTTCTGTAGTAGTGGAGAAAAAGTAGGGCTGAAAATTTGCCTGTCCCGTCCCTGTCCCGTCCCTGACCCTGTCTGTCCCGTCCCTAAAGGGACAGCTTGCATAATCGACCCGTCCCGTCCCTGTTCTCTTCTTGACCCTGTCTGACCCTTTAGGGTCGGGACGGGACGGGATGGGACGGGTCAGCGGGTCGACCCTCTCCGACACAAAATTAAATCAATTACGAAATTAATTTCAAAAAATATTTTTTTTACGAATTTCAGTTCAGATAATTATTTATTCATCAAATTAATTCCAAAAAATTAATTAATCACCAAAATAATTCCAAAAATTTAATTAATCACCAAAATATTAATCAATTGTCAAAATAATTCCAGAAAATTATTTATTTACCCAATTTATTCTAGAAAATCATTTATTTATCAAATTAATTCCAGAAAATTAATTAATTAATTAGTTAAATAATTTATTTATGAAATTATTTCAGAAAATTAATCAATTACGAAATTAATTTCAAAAAATCATTTTATTTACGAATCTCTGTTCATAAAATTATCTATTCATCAAATTAATTCCAAAAAATTAATTAACCACCAAAATATTCCAAAAATTTAATCAATCACCAACATATTTCCAAAATATTAATCAATTGTCAAAATAATTCCAGAAAATTATTTATTTACCCAATTAATTCCAAAAAATTAATCAATTGCCAAAATAATTTCAGAAAATTATTTATTTACCAAATTATTTACCAAACTCCCATAATATATGTGCTTGATGAAAGGATGAAATGACATCAATTATTAAATAATCATCAATGACATCATTGTTCGATAATAATCAAGTACATCATACTCATGATCACACAATACATCATTGTTCGATAATAATCAAGTACATCATACTCATGATCACACAAGACATCATTGTTCGATAATAATCAAGTACACCATTCTTCAATCATCGTCAACTAAATCACTCATGATAGTACAATCATCCAAGCAAGACTCTTTCAACTCTGCAAAATTAACAACACATCAAATAAATTAATAATGATCTAAATAAAATAGTGAATGTTAAAAACAAATTACTTTTCATACCTTGTTCAAGTTCTTCGATTTCTTCAAAATTCTCTTCCATGTCGATTGGAAGAGTACTCGAGCGAAGCCAATTTTGACCACAAATTAAACTTTCAACAACCAAGGGAGTCAAAGAACTCCGAAATGCATCTAAAACGCGCCCCCCGGTACTGAAAGCAGACTCAGATGCAACTGTGGATACTGGAATCGCCAACACATCTCTAGCCATCAAGCTCAGTATTGGATACTCACTAGAATGCTTCTTCCACCATGCTAAAATGTTAAAAGTTATGTCCTCATCATCCTCAAGATTCGCCTTTAAGTACCTCTCAAGCTCCGAAAGTGTAGTTTCTCCCACCCTCTCTTCCATTCTCTTTCTCTTGAATTTTTTCTTCAAATAATCTTCCACACTTTCAGATTCATCATTCTCATTTGGTGTTGCACTCCCCACACTTCTTGATGAGCTTTCACAAGTAACCCCTCTCATTTCCGAATAGTCATTAAACATATCATCCAAAACTCCCTTCACACTCTCAAACAACTCATCTTTAGTCCAAATTCCCCCATGTTCTATCCCATAAACCTCATCAAGCGCAAAACAAACATACTCCAACTTGTACCTCGGGTCAAGAACCACAGCAATAAACAGCAAAGGGTTGATGTTATCAAAGGAGCCCCAATACTTATCATGCTTAGCTTTCATTCTTCTTGCCATGGATTTATGACTCTCAATTTTTGATGAAGTTTCCTTTGTAAGCTTACAAGCAATTCCATATATGACATGAAAGAGATCATTACTTGTGACATACAAAGAACCCGAAACTTTCATTGTAGCATCATAAAAAATCTTCAGAAAAGGAACTAGAGACTCCACGTAATGCCAATCCAACTCATTTGGTGTCCCTTTCAATTTCTCTAGCTCAACTTTATACTTATCATCTTCTTCCTCTAACCTCTCAAATGCTCTTTTAAATACCAAAGCGGACTCCAACATCAAGAAAGTGGAATTCCATCTAGTCTCCACATCTAAACACACTAGTTTCTTGGTCTCCAACTTCTCCTCATGGGCACAAGTCTTAAATCTCTGCATTCGAGAGTTTGATGACCTCACATATCTCACAGCGGACCGAATACGATGGATTGAATCATCAACATCTTTCAATCCATCTTTCACAGTCAAGCTCAATATGTGAGCACAACATCTCATGTGAAGATGTATTCCCTTCAACACACTCCCCTTCCAATTGTTAATCCTCTTCTTCAAATATGTCATGCCCACATCATTCGAACTTGCATTATCGACTGTCACGGTTAGAACCCTATCAATTCCCCAATTAAGCATGTGTTTTTCAACCGTTTTTCCAATCGTGAGACCCGTGTGATTAGGAATGGGAGAGAAGTTGATAATTCTTTTCTGCATTTTCCATTCATTATCAATGAAATGAGCAGTTAGACTCATGTAGTCCAAATGATGTCTACTTGCCCATATATCGGTTGTGAGGCAAACTCTAATCTGTGACTGCTTGAAGTAATTTTTCAACTTCTCCTTCTCAGCCAAAAACAACTTAAAACAGTCTTTGGCTATGGTGATCCTAGAAGGGATGTGAAACTCAGGTCTTAGCGAATGGACAAAGTCACGGAAGCCTTCATGCTCAACTTGCCTAAAAGGTGACTCGTCAATAATGATCATTCTAGCAAGTTTCATCCTTGAGACAACTGGATCATATGTGTGAGGTGTAAAAGTAGGAGAAGCACTACTAGTACCCTGAGCTGTAGTATTGGTACCTTGAGCGCTAGGAGTTCTAGATTTCTTCTGATTATGATTACTATAAGGATACTTTTTGCATCTTTGCAAATGCCTTTTCAAACCACTTGTTCCAAAAGTAGATGGACATTTTAACTTCGATGAACAATATTTGCAAACAGCTTTTCTAGTTTCCTTATCCGACCAATTTTGTCTATTATAATGCTCCCATACAGCTGAAGTTCCGAATGTACCTTCTTCATTTTCATCAACTTCCAATGGAAGATTTCCTTGAGAAGGTGCATTGGTGGAGACCTCCATGGGATTACTGCTAGCTTCATCCATATCCTGCCATTTTAATGAATCAAATATTAATATCCTATCATTTGTTTAATTCTTGCCCTCTCCAAGACTTTGCTAGCTATTCTAAGTATAAATACAGTACAGATGCAAGCTGCTCTTTGGTCAACTTCAAAGCATAAATAGTCATTAAAATGCAACTGATCCCTCCTTTATCAACTTCAACATCAAAGCATTATTTATAAACAGAAGCCACTACTGCTCTGGCATGATGCATTATTTATAAACAGTGTCATCTCCTCTCTTTCATTTTCTGTGTTGTGTAAGTCAAGAGACAGAATTTTGCAGGCAGATCGAACAAGTACCTTTATAACTTCAGGTGATGTTGGTCCCAAAACTCGAAGCTATCTTACGAAAATAGGGAAGATGGTAGACAAGTACCCGACCAACTGAAGGGAGAAACAACTCAGTCAAGTTATCAACAAGACTTCAAAAGAGTAAATCCAGATTAATATGATAGATAGAGACCTCATCACTGACCTGTTCTATTATGGTCTTCCCAGAGTAACCTTCAATGACCAAACCTGCTGTGAGACCTATGGCTATCATCCCCCATGCTCCATTGATCGCCTCGATATCATGCCGGCTGTACCAGAATTAGACAATACCAATTTTGCTTAGAGACAATATAACAACAATTTTTGTGTTCTGGAAGTTACTACACAAAATTAGCAACCAGTTACTACACTTAATTTACATTCCAAGTATCATAGTTGAATCAGTAAAGGGTTGCCATAAAGAAAATACCCAGTGGTAAATTCATAACCAGGAAAGGTTAAAAGCAAAAAACACAGAAGAACAGGGATGATCTGAAGTATGCCACATGCCCATGAACTTGAGAGAAGAACTAGAAAGACAAGAACAGACCAGACGGACATATATAGGGAATATAATAGACTACAAATGGAGTAATAATAGTTCCATTAGATTAATTGAAAGGGAAACTCTGTGTCGACCCAAATTGCTTTCATCATCCTCTTCTTCTCACCTTACTCCCTTTCCCTCATCTCAAATCCCAAACCCTCCTTCCAAAAGTCCAAACGACAATTACTACTACAACAACAGCCAGCCATCTATCCACAGTCCACAACCCACTCAATAAGGAATCAAATTCCCCCATTGTACCTTTTCTTGGGTTTTCAAAAGGATCGGAAGAAAGTAACAACAAAATGAAAAGAAAAGAAAACACCCTAGTGGGGTTCGTTGGTCAATCAATCGAGGTTTGTAACACAGCAAAGGAGAGGAAACTTACCGCAACAATCAGTCGAGCTTTTAGGGTTAATGGATGAGAGGGATGGAGGGTTCGTGAAGGGATTCTCCAAGCCCTCGCGGCCGACGAGGAAGGCAATCGTCCTTGCGGTTGGAGAAGGAGGACTGGGCGTCGACGCCGGACGACAATCGCCGGCAGTCGCCGAGAATGAAGGGTGAAGATTGAATGGTTTTAGGTCAATGGAAATACGAAAGTAATCGAGAGGAATGGAGAGTGGAGAAGTGTTTGTTCTCTTTAGTTTTCAAATTTTTACGGGTCTAAAGTGGGGTTTCGGGTCAGATGGGCTTTTTTAGGGACAGAGTACAGTTTGACCCGACCCTTACAGGGACAAGGAGAAGACCCGTCCCAAAGTTGTCCCTCTATGCAAATAGACCCGGCCCGGCCCTTAGGGACGGGACGGGACGGGTCGGGTCTTCGGGTTTTCAGGGTCAGCATTGCACCCCTAGGAGAAAGTGCCCTTTGGTCACTCCCTCCCACCCAATCCAACTAACAACCAACACCAACGAAAAGAAAAACCCAGAAGCAGAAGAAGAAGAAGAGAGAACCCACCAACCACAGTTTTGCTTTTGCTAGTGTGCTCCTCACCACTCTCTCCCCAATGACTTCTGCGAGGTGTTGCAGCAGGATTGGTCTTGTTCATCTCCTTTTCCTTGCTCTTCTCCACAACAGCACTCTTTCTCTTATTGCAGCTGCCAGATCAAATGTATGGCTGGCTCTTCTTTGATCTTCTGTTTTGTTTTTCTGATTCTTTTGCTATTGCAACTGAGCCATCTATGGTTCTTTTTAAGGTTTACATTGTGTACATGGGTGAAAGGCAGCAGCAGGATGAGCCTGAACTAGTTCAAGACTCCCACCATGAGCTTGTCTCCAGTTTTGTTGGAAGGTTTGTTAGTACCGCTGAATTTTTGTTTCCACCATTCTCAACTTGGAAGTTTCCAAAGTAGAAAACTTTTTTTGGTGGGTTTTGAAGAACAGCAAAGAAGCTGCAGAGGAATCCATTCTTTACAGCTACAAGCATGGGTTCTCAGGGTTTGCTGCAGCCTTGACCAAGTCACAAGCCAAGCTTATTGCAGGTCACTTGTTTTTACCCATGTTGTTGGTGAAACAAGTTTGAGTTTCAATAAATCTGATTATTGATCATGTGTGGTTCCTACATCCAATCCCAGATTCCCCAGGAGTTGTTTGGGTGGCCAGAAACAGAATCCTCACTACTCAGACAACAAGGAGCTGGGATTATCTGAAGGTAAAACCTGAGCTCCCAAATGGGATTGCTTCAAGAGGCCATTCTGGAGCTGGCTCCATTGTTGGTGTCATGGACACAGGTCAGTGAAAATGATGCTGTAAAAAAAGAAGACACGATTCTGGCTTTTTGTTTGCATTATTGTTTCTTGTGACAGCTTTCTGTTGGATTTAGGGATATGGCCAGAATCAAAAAGCTTCATGGATGATGGTATGGCAGAGGCGCCATCTCGTTGGAAAGGCATTTGTCAGGAAGGACAAGGGTTCAATACCTCTCACTGTAACAGGTTTTGACTCGTATTTGTCGTTGATCATTTACTTCAATGTTAGTGTGACCAAATTCTCACCATGACTATTCATTAGAAATGTGATGTATAGTGATATGGATGGTCCAAATTTTCACTAAAGTCTATTATGTCAAATTGACTTGATTAACTCGCGTTATTTCAATTGTCGTCGTCAAATTTCTAGCTAATTTTTTTATACTTCTTGTATTAGTATTCATTGTTATAAAATGAGGTGTAATTTATTCAATTTAAAGAGAAATATAAAATGTGGAACTGTCTATATAATGTGCTTGATGATATCTGTTTTTATTGCATGCACTTTTATTGTGCGAATATACAATACCAAAATTGAGTATAAGAAATTTAAATCTTAATTTACATTCTAACGTGTTAGACTTTTCGATCATGAATCAATGTCAATAACTTCGATATATCATAATTAATTTAAAATTAAGGTTTTTAACTTTTTATATTCAATACCCTAATGTTTAGGGGGAAAAAACTAGACATTTTGAGAAGAGTATAACAATCATTTTTAGTACTCTCTTAACAACTCTTTTAAGTCTCGCTCTTCATTCTCTAAACAGGAAACTCATCGGAGCACGGTGGTACATAAAGGGCTACGAAGCCGAGTTCGGCATAGTCGACACTAGCGACGGAGTCGAGTTCTTATCCCCGAGAGACGCCGGCGGCCATGGAACCCACACGTCATCAACCGCAACCGGGCTTCCAGTCCAAGGTGCAAGCTTCATGGGCCTGGCCCAAGGAACATCCAGAGGCGGGGCCCCATCAGCCTGGCTAGCGATCTACAAGGTCTGCTGGGCTACAGGCGGATGCAGCTCCGCCGACATCCTCGCAGGATTCGATGACGCCATCGCCGACGGCGTCGACGTGCTGTCCGTGTCGCTGGGGACATCTCCGCCGCTGGCCTCTTACGTGGCGGATCCCCTGGCGATTGGGTCGTTCCACGCCGCCTGCCGTGGGATCACCGTGGTTTGCTCCGGCGGGAATTCGGGGCCTTACTCGCAGACCGTGATTAATACTGCTCCGTGGGTTGTTACCGTTGCGGCGAGCTCCGTTGATCGGGATTTCCCCGTTGTAATCACTCTTGGGAATGGCAGGACTGTTGTGGTATGTTCTCGTCTCGTGATTTCTGCGAAAAAAGGGGGTTGGAATTGGAATTGGAATTGTGGATTGGGTGTGTTATTGATTGATGCGGTCTCTCTCTGAAACAGGGGCAGGGTTTGTATACGGGGAAGGAAGTGGAGGACTTTCACCCCATTGTTTATGGAGGAGACATTGCTGCTGATGATTCTGATCAAGATAGTGCCAGGTAAGACGTTGTTCTAAAGCTCTGAATTGCAAGGCTTGGTTGTATTTAGCTAGGACTGGATATGGTACGGTTCAGAATCAGATCAAATCAGTAATGGTATTGGATCGAATGTAAGGGACAAATGGGGACTAGAATGTAGCAGAAAGATTCCAATAGTGAGTTTTTTCTTCTGCTGTTTTTGGTTCCCAACAGGAGTTGTGAATCAGGAAGCTTGAATGCAACTCTAGCAAAGGGGAAAGTGATACTGTGCTTCCAATCTAGATCACAAAGGTCAGCCACAGTTGCTCTAACAATGGTGGAGGATGTTGAAGCTGTGGGGCTCGTATTCGCCAGGGTACCAACCAAGGATGTGTCTTCATGTTATAGAGTCCCTTGTGCACAAGTGGATTTCACCATTGGGACATCTCTACTCACTTACATTGGATCAAACACCAAACCTGTGGTGAAGTTCAGCTCCACTAAGACTACAATTGGCAGCCAGACTTCCCCAGAAATAGCATTGTTCTCGTCGAGGGGACCCAGTTCCCTCTCCCCTGCCATACTCAAGGTAACTAGAAGTAGATGCTTAGCATATGGATTAGTTTACATGAACGATGATTAACTTTAGGTACGGTATGATTACATGAATTGTCATTAAACTTTAGAGTAACTTTTGCAGCCAGACATAGCTGCTCCTGGAGTCAACATCCTAGCATCATGGTCACCATTTGCTTCTTCCATTGATGACCCACTGGACTTCAAGATTGAGTCAGGAACTTCCATGTCATGCCCCCACATTTCTGGCATAGTTGCCCTAATCAAATCCATCCACCCAACTTGGTCCCCTGCTGCAATCAAGTCTGCCCTCATTACAACAGGCAAGCAAATTCAAACCAACCCCTCAACTTTTGCTCTTCTGATCTTAATGCCTACCACCTAACTCTAAGCTACCACTTCTTCTTTTCCCACCACAGCTTCAACACAAGATGAATATGGTGAAACCTCCATTGCAGAGGGAGCTCCAGAGAAGCTGGCTGACCCATTCGACTACGGTGGTGGACATGTCGACCCCAACAAGGCCATGGATCCCGGTCTAGTCTACGACATGGGTCCTTCAGATTATGCCAGGTTCCTCTGTGCCATGGGCTACAACGACTCGGCAATCAGCAGCATAACGCAGGGAGAGAAAACCCAATGCCGGAAACTAGGAGCTGCTACCAACGACATGGTGGAAGATCTCAACGTGCCATCCATCACCATCCCTGAGCTGAGGCAGAACCTGACCGTGACGAGAACTGTCACGAATGTCGGTCCTGTGGATTCGGTCTACATTGCTAGAGTTCGTGCTCCAGATGGGGTTCGTGTCACGGTGGAGCCATCGATCTTGGTGTTTGATTCGCATACGAAGAAGGTCGAGTTCAGGGTCACCTTTCATGCCAAGAGGATGATCCAGGGGAGGTATACATTTGGACACTTGATTTGGGAAGATGGTTATGGTGATGATGATTCCTCATCTCATTCTGTTAGGATACCCTTGGTTGTGAGAACAGTGATCGACTATTCTTCCTATGCTGAAACATGACATTTTCTCGGGCTTATTGGAAATGCAATAAATGGGCACCAAAACCCTTACAGAGAAAGTTATTGCTGTTTGCCCGACTTTCCATGTCTCATTGCTCAGCTATCTTGACTTTGTTGGTCTGATCTTTGGACTATCTTGGAGAAAATGGAAAATGGTGATTCATTTCTGCGCATTACCTTGCCTGGAAAAGAAGGATAGGATAGAAAAGGGCCGAAAGATCATATGGCAGGAAGTCCTGGTGGGTGTGGTTTGTGGACTGTGGAGTGTGATAGGAGATATGAAAAGTGGCAATCAATTGCTTTCCAAAAGGGTATGCGTCAATTTTACATAAATGGTCACTAGCTTTGAGATCCCTAACAAATCAGATCCATAAAGATGTTAAATGAACTCGCGCGATTGTAATTCGTCTGAATCGTGTATGTCAAAATGTTACTTCATCAAATTTAATGACCAAATAATTGCCATAAACTCTTCAAATTATCGAGACGAAAATGTTACTTCATGAAATTGAATGACAAAACAATTGCCATAAACTCTTCAAATTATCGAGACGAAGAGAAAATGATTTGGCTTCATGTAACAATGATTGGAATACGAATAAGCAAAGGATTTGAGTTCCAATTGATCGTTTTGATATAAGTGGCAAGTTAGCATGCCTATTTGAACAGATAAACATAATGATTGTTGGTGACCATAATGTACAATTTACCCAAAAGGATACCAATAAAGTGCCTTGATTTAATATTTGATTTGCTGAATGGATCCTTCCTTTAATTTATCTCCTTCCCAACTTTGAAATCCTTACCTAAAAAGGATCCTTGCCTGCCAACACTGGCCTTGAGAAGAGTATCAAAGGGCAAAGATATGAAAATGCTGAGCTGAGAATTGAGATGAAGATGGGATTTCTGGAAATCAACCCCAAAAGTTCAGTGACTGTTCAGAATTCAGATTGTATCAATTCAAAGTGGTAGTTCAAAATTTCAGTACCTAAAAGGTGGATTTGTTCTGGGAAATTAAATCAAAGGACAAATAGATATCAATAGATTTAATGTTGCTAGTCATTTTCAGCCAAGTGGGGTTCTAGATAGTTTCAAGATTCAACTAATGGACACTGTTACTGATGCATCATATAACAGATGGGGAATGCTTGGCATAGTTAGGTGAACAACCCATCTTTATTACTTACCAATTTGAATGAATTCTTTGCTTCTGTAGATGATCTTTTCTTCCATTAAATAAAAGAGGGAGTCCACTGCTTTTACCTAAACTTCAGGCTGGCCTCAAGTTTGAAAGAACTGTGTAACCGAAACATTTTAAAAAGTGGTTTGGTTTTTCCTATTGAACTGTTGAGACCGGTCACGCAAACACAAGCAAATATATAATATGCATGCAGGCGAGGTTTATATGTTTCAGTTGAGACTTGAGATGGTTTCTACATACATGGATAATGACGGAGTTAGAAAATATAAGGAAAATGGTTGAAAAAATAAGTTAGGAGATTCATACCCTAAAAGAAGAGCATGGCCTGCTAGAACCTTACCCAGTGTGATAAGTCTTGTATTTGTTACAAAATTTACGTGTTATATAGTTTGAAAGTTACTAAGGAGGGTCCTACTGTATGAGTAGTTCTGTCATTGTTTATGAAGAGTTGATGCAATCTTTGATTATCATTGACTCCGTCTATCTACTCTCCATAAAATGCGGGGTTATAAAGGGTTTTGGAATGATTTTCCTACTAATAAAACTCGTATTTGAACACGATTAATGCACCAATGATTATGACCTACTTGCAAAGAAAAAGGTACAAAAAATACATTGACGTATGCATAGAGTTGTTGGATTTCTGAATATTTCTTTAGTCTTTGATTCATCTAGTTATAGCCATAAGCCCATAACTAGATGAAACCTGGTGACATGACCTCGCTTGATGAGAAGGTTATGTCCACATTGACTCTAATGGTTTGAACTTGAAACTCTTAACTCCACAAGATCCAACTCAAATGCCTCGTATATTATCAATATAAGTGTTGATATATTTTTTAGTACAAATAAGAATTCAAGAGGGAAAAACAATTCAAAAACCTCAGAACTTCCCTTTTGCATTTGTATCATACAACTCAAAGTCTACAGTACTGCATATTAGTTAGAGCAACCTTTCGTTGTTTCAGTAGCCAGTTAACTTAATCATGTTCTATATATACTCATGGTGATCCATAAAATGTAGTCTTATTTGGCAAGCAAACATTTCACGTAGATTTTTCTGGAAAGAAACTTATGCTTTTGGTTTCATTAGAGAGAGGATAAAGCAAGATATACTATTTGCATGCTTTGATTCAAATTCAAATCCCAAAAAGAGCCAAAGTGGGTTTGTTTAATTTTCGGTGATTAAGACGGATGACTCCTCAATATTGCTTAAAAAGAGTCGGATTTTGAATTGGTGGGACGTCATTGCAGTCCGGTTGATTAGTTACCGGCCGGTTAACCCACCCATTCCAAATTCCAGCCGGCTTCCCAACTACAATATTCTAGAGGGTCCAAAAAGTTACAAATCAATCAAACAAAATATTTCCGCATTAGAATGGTTGTGCTAAGTTAGCGATTCAGTTAATTCAGAATCGGATTGACCCTATTCATCCGTATGCTACTCTGCTGGGGCTTATTCGCAGGAAGATGAGTCTAGATTGGTTGGTCTACCTGTCTCACACATACCGGGAAGGGAATAGAGCCGCGGACTGGCTCTCGAAGCACAGTCTCGTCTATCCCTACGGTATGCATGAGTTGGCAGATCCACCGTCAGGCATCGGCCAGATCCTTCAGGAAGACATTAGGGGCATTACTTTTGAGCGCCGAGTTGTGGCGAACTCATCTTTCTCTTCATAACCTCCATGTACTCGCTTCTTCTTCTTGGCTTTTAGCCTCCTTGCAATGCAAAAAAAAAAAAAAAAAAAAAAAGTTAACGAGATTGATGTATATACTCTCCTACAATCACTCTGAGTCATAATTAAGTGCATGAATTAAAGGTTTAAGTTCATGCCTTATACTCCTAGTAATCGCATGATGCTGCTAACAATTGATTCAGACTCAATACAACGAAAACTCTGCAAACTTCAACCCGTAAACATATTCGAGAGAGAGTGTATGATAATGCGATGTTGCCTCCTGATCGTTTCAAAGCCAAAAGTATTTTAAGAATATGAGAGGCATTTTTTGGGAAATGAAGATATAATACGTAGGAAATTGATGATGATAGTGAAATTGGCATGGCATGGCAAGAGGGGCAGCTTGCTTTTGAGCTTTTGTTTGGATAAGCTCGAGAGAACTTCGACCTTTCTTTCTTCCTTTCCTTCCTCACTTTTTTTTTTGTTAGGTGATCTTATACCATTCGCTAATACGCTCCTTCAAACGAAAGTCAACCCATAGGCTTGAAGTTTGCACAGACTCATCATATCTTGTGTTTTAATCAACTATTAATATTGGGGTCGTGGAGATTCGATCACACGACCACCTGATCAAACCAGGCTCTGGACACCATGTTATGAACCAGTGGCGGATCCAGATTTTTTTTTGTAGAGGTGTCCTCTTCCAAAAATTAAATTAAATTAATAATTAAATAGTAAAATTAAATAATACATAAATAATAAAATATCCAATTAGTACAAATATTGACAAAAAGCCACGATGTGTTTTCATATTTCGAAAAAAATATAAGATAGATTTGGTGTCTACACTGCTCAACAAATCGGTATATCCTATATTCAATTTCTAACCTTGTGTCATGATGTAATTCAAAGTTGAAAAGACTGTTTCAACACTTGCAGTGTAACCATAAAATCAATTCAAATCAGGGGTACTCCTAGGGATAAGAAATTGCGATTTTACCATTATATACTCTTTAAAATAGAACAACAAATGAGTTGTAACCTAATGGAGAAGATGTTTAATAATAAGAGTGTCATAGATTTGAATAACACAGAGTACCACTTATAGTTTTTTAATTATACGCAAACTACTATCGAGGGTAAGATAATCGTTTATTAAAATTTTAGGGGTGTCCCAGATTACCAATTATATTTTGTTTATCCATACGAAACTACTACCGAGGTTGGATAATCGTGTTCCCAAAAATTAGGGGTGTCCCGGGACAAAAAAAAGTACCATGTATCCGCCACTATTATGAACCCATTGGTCCCAATAACTTGAGTTATTGAAAAAAAATTATGCAAATATCTTATACCATTCTCTACCATTCTTACTTCCCGCTCAATTCAACACCCAGCCATAGCCGCCAGCAGTACCAGCACTCGCATTCATCAATCATCATTACAATTATCCCACCAAAAGAGAAATAGACAGACTTGTAGTTGGAGTTACATATAATTGTTTATTTTGATCCATTGGGGTGCCTTTGAAGCAAAGAAACGCGGCTGCTAAACTAGCAAAACGACATGCCCCGCCCATTTCCATGTTAATCTTTGGCTTTGTTTAAGTGACCAGCAAGGCAGCAATGACAATCTTACCATTCTATGAAAATTAGATAGTGTTATCCAAATTAATATGAAAATTTTGGGTCATTCAATTTTACATATTTAGAACGACAATGAGATGTGATCATAACCATGGATTTTGATAGTATTATACCAATATTGTAATAACTATTAAATACTATTTCGCTAACTTATTTGATTGACCTCCAAAATGATTTCACAAACCATGGTTAATTATATTGACGGTGCAGTTCTCCTAATGAACATAACTAACCCTTTTTCTTGTGACTTCTATCAACCTTCCAGCTGCCAACTTAATTTCTTGTGGCCCATTGGTTTTGACTTTGAGTAGTATAATAATTATGTTTAATAATTATGCCGCCAACAAATTTCTTGTTATAATCAAGGATATTGTTTACATCTAAATTCTAGTGGATGCCCTTAACGGTGGTGTGGTCCGTACGGGACCGTATCGAACCAAATCTAATATATATTTGGATTGAATTGGACTGAATGCAATGGTAGTCTAGTAGTTGTTGATTCTAAAAAGTTTTTCATTATTGCACCACAATTCTCACGAGTTTGGTCCGGTTCGAACCATACAGTTGCACAACCCCAAATGCCATTGTATAGTAATGATCGAGCGTACTGATCGAGCATCAAACGAAATAATCTAACACAACTTGATCGGTGTGCATATATATATAGATCACTAACACAAGTTCTTGCAAGCAACTTTTGTTGTGTGTGTGTGTGGGTGAGGATATTCCATACAAAAATCTCCATTCCATCCACTATTAGCAAAAAAAGGAAACAACATGTTCAATGGTGAAGAGAAGTAGTAGCCCCTCGAGTCCGATCCTATACGTACATCACTCACACTCACGAGGGACATGTTCCAACCAACCATTTGCCCCACGCACACTTTTTGTCACTCACTCAGTGCGGTTTTTCTCGTGTATGTTTTCCCTTTTTTTTCTTTCCTTTTGTATCGTTGTGCGACCCAACCCAAGTGGTCGGGCGAGAGATGCCGTGACGCCCAGTTACGTTGTAGATTTGTGTGGAAAAAAGGCAAAATGGCGATCGGTCGGACCATAATGCTAGCTAGGTGACGACCACCCCAACCCCCTACTACAATAAGTGAAGTGGGCATACACAGAGGCGTGCTATTGCATTTGCATGTGTGGTTCCTTGCGACCGAGATTATGTGAATGATTGCGAAAACGTACCGGAAGTTATACCGGAAGAGTTAGTGGTAGGGTATTTTCTATTAAAAATGTGATTGAACTGTTAAAATCGCGTATACATTTTGAGTAACGGTATCTGGTACTTCCGGTCTGGCCGGCCGGTACGGTATCTAAAACATTGGTTTATATTAAAAAAAAAATGAAAACGTGGTTCTCTCATTCATCGCCACGTGAAGCATGTCTTTTTTTTCCCCCTTTACACCACCGTCAATGATATTATAATTACTATACTGGCGTGCACTTAATTTAACACTCATTGAAATCGTAGTAGTCGACCTAATTTGAATAAGTCATTACGTGTATGTGCATTCAATTGTCGAATAATGTAAAAGTGTGGTATAAGATCCATAATAACCTTCTCCCAACAACTAGAGGTATTGAGATCAACTGGTTTATGACATAATATCAGAACTGGTTTGACCAAGTGGTATAGTGAATCTGTGCTAAAATCAAGCCTGTGTGTTGGATTTCGTTTGAAGGAGCGTGTAAGAGTATGATATAGGATACATAAAAACATTCTCCCAACAACTCAAATTTATAAAACCAGATACCAACTAAGCCCTATACCCATTATCATCATCAGCATGCATGTTTGTAAAATTTGGAGGTTGGCTTGGCGCGATGAGATTTTTTAGCAGCCCTCCGGGTTGGTCGGGTTTTGTCACTACTGCCCAAAAACATTATGCCCCGTTGAATAGTCAGTCGTGGGTTCTTGACTTTGACTTCCACACCGCTCGCCGCCGTTGGATGTTCATTCGACCGGAAACCGTCGACGCGTTGTGGTCACGCGCTGAGTGGCGAGACCGATTGCGAGTGAGTTTGACAAAGTCGTTTGAAAGGAAGAATCATGGATGGGATAGGTGGCGCAATAAGAGAGCAGCCCCACCCTCCTAGTTATTATTGACTCGTCTCACACCACCAAAATCTCTCCATTTAACAGAAAAAGTTGTTCGTTCCATTATAATTAGGGTTACGGTTCACCGAAAGTTAAGAAGTTTTTTCTACCAAAAAAATAAAAAAAAAGTTAAGAAGTTTAGGGTTAATAACCCTTTGAGTCACTATACCATTTTATTAATGATAAATTGTGTTTATGAGCTAATTTACTTGATTTTGGTCAACTAAGTACTTGTTCGTGTGGTTGCATCTCTAATTTCGTCGATTCGGCAACAAATGAAGAGAAGTAACTAAACTCCTACACGATCTGCTGTCTTAATCACGGACTATATGTTCTCGAACTAGTCTGCTTTTGAATTTGTACCAATTGACTTTCGATGTATTTGCATTTCTAATTTTATCTAGACAACACGTTAAAAATGCATCCCGAAAAATTGAGTCGTGGTAGAGAAGAGAAAAGGAAGCGACCGGTGTAATTGTGAACCTCTCTCCGCCAACGTTATATCCTCTGTTTTTACAATCTTTGTCAACACTTTTTGGCATTGGGAAAATCAAGGCTTAGCTCGTGATACATTTTATAAAGAGATCGATCAAGTTAATGGATTTCGGGGTCACACAAAAATTAGATTTATCAAGGAAGAGGTTTCATCAGTTAGTAATGATAGTCGCATTACGTTTAAATATGATTTAATGAAACCTAAACTAGGAATAAATATGCTTCGTTGTGTTATATAAGTTCGACAGAATAGATCAAGCCAACATGACTAACTAAATGGCACACAAGGTTGGTGCGAGATGAAAGTATGAAACATGTTACTCCAACTTTACAATTTTACCCGTTGTGCAATGAAATATAATATCTACTGAAACAAATCGTATTATTTTAAGTCGGGTATATCAAATCAAATAGATGTTTGAAATAGTTGTGAAATTTGGTACAATAAAGAAATAACATGTGCAATCCCGCCATCAATCAAGCAGGTAAATCAGATGGTTGGGAAGATTTGCATTTTTCCGCGTGATAATACCAAATCTCAGCTCCACGGGAAGAATCCATGAATTTGTTTTAAGTTTTCACCTTTCTCTTAATATTTAAGGCAACCAAATCCGGGGAGTTTGAATGAAATCCGTCCATATGTCACCAAATGAAAACCGCGGGGAAAAGTAAACCGCCGGTGGAACCGTGGAAGAAGCCAACGAGCGACCTTCCAACAGTTAGTCAGACGTTAGATTGATTACCTCCAAATTTGACCTTAATTATTTCCAAAACCCAGAAAAAATTACCATTTAATCCAATTTAGTGTAAAAAATATAAAACCCAAAATCCGAAAGAAAGGAGATAGATAGAGTGATAGACTCAACGCAACAGAAGCAAGAAAACAAGGACAGGGATAAAAAAAAAGGGAGAAGAAAGGGAAGCCAGCCAACAATAACAACACACACAGGAGCCCAACGCCATTAGAATTCTGATTAAAGAGCTTTTTTTTATTAAAGTTTCTTCCTTTTCATGAACTTCTTCCTCTTCCCCTCAATTCAGTCGCTTCCTCCGTCTTTTTCAGGTACCCTTCCATCTCTCTCTCTCTCACCTCTTTTTATTCTCCTCCTCTGCAGCTTCTTCGGTTTCCTCTGTTTCTTTTGTTGTTGCTGTTGTTCAATTTGGTGTGGGTTGGTTTTTGTGGGTGAAATTTCAGAAATGGAATTCTACTGCATGGAAGACAGAGCCTTGAAATCGAGCTTGAGGAGAGAAGTTATGGCTTCTGTGAAGTACCCTCAAAACAACCAGCTGCAGCAAGATCTGGGGTTTGAAGATTTCCTGTGCTTGAACCCCAGTTCTGCAGAGGATTTCTCCGTCGACTGTTTCTTGGATTTCTCCAATGGCGGGTTTAAGGACGAGGAAGAGCCTGCGGAGAGACTTGAAGAGGAGGAGGAAGAAGAACAGGACTCTGTTTCGGTTTCCAACTCCTCGTCGGCCAGTTTCTCCGATTCCCTTCTCTCCAGCGACCTTCCCGTTCATGTAACTTTACTTTTCCCCACTTCTCCCCTGTTTTTTTTATATAATTTCGATAAAAAGATTTGAGTCTTTAATGGGAATTCCTTCACCATTTCGAGTCTAATTGGGGGGAAAATTCATGGGTTTTTTCCGCAGGCCGAGGATTTAGCGGAACTGGAATGGGTTTCCCAATTCGTCGACGATTCCTCCTCTTCATCGGAGGCCGCCGCCCTATTCGCCGCCGTTTCCGCGGAGAAGCCCTTCGAATTCAAACCAACGCCGGCGAAGACGCCAGTTTTCACCACTCTCCCACCTCCGCCTTTCCTCACTTCCCGGGTCCCGGCGAGAACGAGGACCAAACGAGCCAGAACCGCCGGTGCAAGCTGGTTCAACGGGTCGTCGGTGATTTCCGACTCTTCCTCACTCACCTACTCGCCGACGTCATCGTCCTCCGCCGCCTCTTCGGCGCCGTACCTAAACTCTCTTCAAATCCATCCCTCAATTTCGTCGCTCTTCCCTCGCAGCCCCGGCGAGCCGCTCAGGAAGAAACAGAAGAAGAGGCTGCCAGCAACGGCGGGTGAGTCGGGTTCGAACCCGAACCCGACCCAGCAGCAGCGGCGGTGCAGCCACTGCGGGATCCAGAAGACGCCGCAGTGGCGGAGCGGCCCGAACGGGGCGAAAACGCTGTGCAACGCTTGTGGGGTCCGGTTCAAATCCGGCCGCCTCCTGCCGGAGTACCGGCCGGCAGGAAGCCCGACGTTTTCCAGCGAGGTGCATTCCAACAGCCACCGGAAAGTCTTGGAGATGCGGAAGAAAAAGGAACAGGTGGAAGAGTCGGCGACAGCGACAGAACCGGCCGCCGGGTCGGACTTGACCCGAGTGGTTCCGGGTTTTTGAAGGGTTTTACTGTAGAAAGTTCCGGGCTAATACAAAATTAGGAAGGAAAATGAACCGGGGTTTGATTCGGTTTGGTTTAGGTTTATGGGCTGGGTTAATTAGTCTCTGGAACGAATAGAATTATAGGACTAAGTTAGTTACTTAGTTATGACTTATGGAAGTATAACTAGGACAGGAAGTTTAGGCTTTTAGAGTTTAGTGAAACTGTTTTTTTTGGTCTTCTCGTATTCCTAATGTACCCTAATGTAGGCAGGAAGGTTCTGAATTCTCATGTTAGTTGCTAAATCCAAACTTTTATTTAACTTCCAATTAATCGTGCGAGACGTTATTCAGGTCAATCGTTAACGACAAGTCTCGTACATTCACAAGACTATAAGGTCACGAATGATCATTAGAACCGTCAAATAATGAACCTCACGCAAGAAAAGAAAACAAAACGAACCTATCGAAATCAAAACGAAAGAGAAACTACGAGAATTACTTTAAATCGAGACAAAGTTCTACTTCCTCTGAATACGACGTTTGAAAATCAATCACCATTGAACTGTTACCCTGTTACCTCCAAAGTTTTACAACATCAATTCGATGGAGAAGTACCCCGAATCACATATCAACATCAACAACTAGCTCGTATAATTTCAAGAAGACAAAAGTGACATGTTCTTGTGAATTTTTGGTTTAAATTTCTAAGTTCGAGTATTTGGTACTTTTTTTTTTTGTCACGAAGAGTTTTTGGTACTTATAGATGTATGAAAGTGGATAACAAGGGAGAGAGTTTCCTTTGGTTTGGTGTTTGAAGGTTTCAAAATAGTTGTCGTAATGGTTGAATACGAAGACAAATTTGGCTAAAGACATGCAAACAAAGCTTGGTAGTTGTGAAAATTCGGACTTGTTAGTTCCTTCTCGTGATTTACGTGCATATGCTAACAAATTTTTTAGGTTGTATGTATATGCATATGTGAACTTTTATTGCGGCATGAAGTTGGAGCAAAGCAAAGACTCCCTTCCGTTTCTATTGATGAAAACAAAACCCATTGGTTTGTGTCTGTGGCCAAGTTCTACACCAAACTCATAACTAAATTCTGCACCTAACGCTACATGTTGGTGGATGAATTATGCGTACTGTGCCCTAGTGGTACGAAAAGCAGGGACCGTATATTTTGCACATTGCTCCTATCTATCTGCAGGGAAGTGTTTGGTAGAGGTGTCTGTAAACTACTACGAGAGGCAGAAGTCGAGCCGGAACTCGGAAGTTGATGTTGTATATGCCTTCTTGACGAGATGAGCTCGGTGACTTCTATTGGGGCGAATTCGGTGCCGGTGGAATCAATGGCTCTCAGTGTATCGCTTGCAGAAATGGTTGTTCGCCAAGTTGTTTGAGCAGCATGATTGCATTGTGCATAATCTTGATAACCTGAAACATTAAGTTGTTGTGTAACCTCAATCACATACTAAACTCCATACACAATACAAACTTAGACTATGTCAAATGTATTGGTAGCATGGAGAAGCACCATGTTACTGTACCATAATCCATCAGGTTAGATACTACCAGAATCCGACCCACTAACTCGTAGCACAGTCATTCCGGCTATAACCGGAGAACAATCAAAGACCCAGGTCACAATGCCGGCTATCTATGGCAATATTATGGAAAGTAATTGCGACAGTATAGACTTCTGCAGTGTTTGCATCAATCGTCTGCCTACATTATGACATCTTAAGTAGTCTAATTAACCAACAACGGTTTACCAGAGAAGTCCATCGATTCTTTCTCATTGTTCTCAGTAATTTTATCATTAAGTTACATACCCATTTAACTCATCAATTCGATCTCCATTACAGTTTCACAGACTCCACAAGTTGGGATTCCATCCAGTCATCCACTCTAGAGAACGGTGACAAAAATATAGAGAACCATTATCGATTATTATACTACAAACATGGAATTGAGCTACAAAAGGAACCAAGCAGAGGCCAAGTAGAAACGAACCTACAGATTATAGCTAGGCATTTCCTCAATCAAGCTACCCTATAGAAAATAGAAATGCCAAAGCCAGTTACCTTGCTCTGCAGCCTCCGACTCTACTAGCTCACGGTCAAGATGCTTTGTTCCGCGCCTTCTGCTCAATCATGTACTCTTGCACTCGCACAGCTTTCTCTCTCATTTCGTCGATCATCTTCTCAGAAGCCTCAACAGTTTCTTTTGTCAATCGCACTTCCATATATCGGAACCAGTCCCTAAGAGTCATCTTCTCACTCTTTTGCCCTCTGTGCTCATTTGAATTGGGTCCATCCTTGGTAGGAGCCTCACATTGTTGTTCATCCGAATCCAACTGCTGAATCAACTCCTCCGTTTCTGCCACAACAGCTTCACAACCATCTGCTTGTCGAGCTTCTTCAGCTAAGTTCTGCCTTAAATCCTCATTTCCCTTGATTTCCGCCGCACTAACCCTGTTAGCATCACCTTCTTGAGCTTCACTGGCTGAACTCGGCTTGATTTCCACCACACTAATCCTACCATCTCCTTCTCGAGCTTCATTGGCTAAACTCGCCCTTAATTCCTGGCCATCCTTGATTTCTGTAGCAACAGCATTATCGTTCTCCGGCGGCGGTGCTGGCTCCTTTTTCCTTCCCTTTCTTGTTGGCGCATTCCTCTTTTTCTCTGGAAGCCCTGACTCGACGCAATCAGAAGTCGAGCGCTCTGGTTCATTCTTCTTACTACGGGTAACCCTACCAACGCCCGGCAGAGGCGGCTCCGTGTTTTGAGATACCGGAACCCTAGCTTTCCTTTGCCTCCCTCTTTTCGGAACGCTTGGCGACAAGTTTTCAGCCTCCGCCGAAATCCTAGCTTCCGCTTGTGCGATTTGAACCGAAGCAGCAACCTGCTTCCTCCCGCCTCGCCGTTGCGGCGGCGAAGGATTTTGGTTCTCGATTCGGAGCCGGACCACGAGGGAAGTGAGCTCTCCGAGCTTGATCTCGTCGCCGTCGCGGAGGTCGTGCTGTTGAAGAGGAGGGAGTTGGGAGGAGTTGAGAGTCGTACCGTTGGAGGAGTCGAGGTCCTCGACTGTCCATTTGCCGGATTCCGAATCGATTGCGAGGTGTTTGGATGAGATGCCGGCGTCTTTGATGGCGAAAGTGTTTCCCCTCACGACTCGGCCGATTCGGACGGTGGATCCTGGGCGGAAATCGAATGTCTCGCCCTTGCGAGGGCCCTCTAGAACTACCAGAGTCAGCGACGGCGCTTCCATCGGCGGCAGATTGGAGGAGGGGAAGCGGAAACTGGAGAGAGTTGTCGAGCTCTGCAAGTTTGAAAATGGATTGAGATTTGAGACAATGGAGGCAAAATATTTTGCCGTGTGAGTTCAATTTTTTTAATCTGGTTCCTTTACTTTCAAGGATGTACAGTTTAGTCCTCCCAAGTATTTTCTTTACTTGTAGTTAACTAAATCTTCTTATATTATACTGATTACTAGAAGTTAGAGTAGTAGTTAGTCAATAAAAACCACTCTATATTAGCAACTATAATACTTGTATTTAGCATCTATACTAGCTTTACATTAAGAGCGTAGTAATGATAGATCGACGATCGACAAAATTCGAACTAACCACTTCAAATTCGCCATCCGTTGCTCCGATACCATTAGAATTGTTGATGAAATGTTCATCAATTAGTATATAGTACACATAGGGAACATGCAGAGAAGGACATATGTGGACTAAAACTGTCACTAAATTTATGTGCCTCTATTGACAGAAATGAATAGAATAGATTCATCCTCTACTTGAAGGGAATAAAATCAACAGAATGGTGCCACAAATCTGCTCGTATTCTCCTCATTACAGGATGGTCTTAAGGGCATCTTTCACGTAGGGGTACTTGAATCTGAAACCCAGCTCCTTGGCCTTTGCAGGAACTACCCTTTGCCCTTCCAGCACCTGCAGGGAAAGAAGAAATTGAAATGATTCGACACACGAAAATGCACAGACAACGGAAGGGTGGCATGATAGATTCTATTTACCACAGTGGCGCCTTCTCCGAGGACTGCCTTGAGAGCGAAATCGGGTACAGGAAGCCATGATGGCCGACCTAGTACATCTCCCAGCTGGTTGCACATCTCTGCCAATCGTACTGGATTCGGTGCAGTTCCATTTATGACTCCTGAATGTTTGGGGCATCAGAATTGAGAACACCGAGTCAGTGGACTTCAGAAACAAAATGGAGAACGACATAGGTAGTCATCAAGAGGAGAGTACCTTTGTAAGATGAATTTACTAGAGCTTCGTATATTAGGTTTACGATGTCGTCCAAGTGAATCCAGGAAAACCTGCAAGCGTCGGGATTAGCATCAACAAATTGAGAGTCTTTCAACATTTGACACCATCAGATCCGAAAGCGTTCAGTTTATTATTTGAACCCCACATAACTTCTGCAACATGTAAAGGAAAAGTGAATCGGAAAGCGAAAAATACATGGATGCCTTGTCCTAATACTTTTAACATACCATTGTTGTCCAGAGCCCAAAGGTCCACCAGCAAACATCTTGAACATAGGGATCATCTTAGCTGCAAATGATTCAAAGGGTTACACTTATTTTGGAGATTTGTTTGCCAGATCGGGTAAAAAAAGAAGAAGAAAAATGTTGAAACTAGATGCAGAGGAGTCAGATTATACCCAAAGCGCCACCATCTTTTCCCAAAACAACACCGATGCGGACAAGAGCTAATCTGACATCCTTATTTACTGTGAACGCTGTTGCTTCCCATTCTCTACACACCTGCTCACAAAGAGGTGAACAAGTAGAAGATAAAATGTTTACATGCACCTTTTACACAACTCTACCAGATGACAAAGTGAAGACATTGCATTCGTAAAGAGTGTGGATGACTAAGGTCAAGTAACAAAAAAAAAAAAAAAGGAAGTTATGGGAGACTTGGCTCGCCAAACAATGTGGTTTACCTCTGCCAAATAATCACTTCCTGATGGGCTGCTCTCATCGAAAATCTGTGTTTCACTAGTACCTGAGCATTTCAGTTGGACGGCAGCAACAACCAAAAATGAGGGAAGGAACTTCAGTGTATATAAAAGATTCACAATGTAAACCATCAACATTCACATATGCAGGTAAGTCATCCTCCATATGCTATGCGGCAAGATGTGGCTTTGGGTACAAACCATAGTAACCAACTGCAGTAGCGCTAACGAGAACAGCAGGTTGAGCTTCTTGTGGTGACTTGTTGATTAAATCTACAACCTTGAGATAAGAAAATCAAAATTATAATGAAAGTTAGAATCCCTAGTCACATGTCTGGGCCAAAACACTTTCTGAAATAGAAGAAAACACAAATTCTCACCTTTGAGGTGACCCTAATTCTGCTATCTTTAATCTCTTTCTTGATCTGCAACAAGCTAAGGAATAAGTATATATGCTCAACAGAGAGTTGCAGCTTGCGAAAAAAGAAAAAGAAAATGCTTGCCAACCCGCCAGTCTAATCATAGAGTATTTTATGTTCATTCACATTCCTAACAGACAGATGGTATCGGCCGTTGCATTCCATTAGCACAATCAGACTGCAGAACAAACCTCAGGGGACCATCTTGTACTGATAGGCAATCCAGCCAAATTGACAACAGCATTGGAGCTTTGAATGGAATCTTTCCACTTCACCTCCTCAGCAATCACGATTCCTGGAAACTCCCTGGCTAATAACGCAAAAAGGAGGCAAAATTCATGCATGCTGCAAATTTTATCATGCAGCCATAGCTCTTGAGTTCATCGATCACAAACGTTAATGAAGCAAGACTACAAAAATAATGATTACCTTCTTACCAGGAAATATTAACTCAGCTCGAGATCTTGACCGAGTCAAGACATGAACGCTATGGTTATCTGCGTACATAACAGGCTCTTGGCATCAACAATTCAATATGAAATACATGTTATCTTGTAAGCAATAAACTACACCCGTATACCTCCTTGCAGCCTTTGCACCAATCTCCTACCAATGAAACCAGTAGCCCCCGTCACTGACACAGTCATCTAATTTGCCAACAAGACGCGAGATCAGCAACTACACAATCCCTAGTGATTAACTTCTATGAAAACCATATACAGTAATGTATCATCCTTCGAGCCACATTGCTAATTATTGATTCTTCCTTCCACACCCCCAGAACTAACTCCCTAAACCTTAAACCTTGATCTGATCCTTTATATCAAAAGGCCACATGAATTTGGTAACTTTGGCGAAATGGGTTACACATTAATGAACTCTATCGAAAGAATTCCCATCTGGGCATGATTATTCCTTATCTATCTTACTAGTCAGAGAATTTTCCGAGCAGGAAGAAGAAGAGAACCTTGCCAGTTTGATCAGAAGCACACCACACACTTAATCTCATCGTACCCCGCAACTGCAGACCCAGAAACAGAAAAAAAAAAAAAAAGTTCATCAGAGAGGATAGTAAAGCAAATCCAACCCAGAAGAAAGACACCAACGAACAGCGAAAATACTGACAGAGACGGGTCGAGGAGTGCCGAAGGATGGAGCAATTGAATGAGCTGAAGTTAGAGATGAAAAGGCTGCAACTCTGCCACAAATATCCATTTTTTCTTAATGGTACCAAGCTCGCAACTACCTCCAAAAATGGCGGGGAGTTTGGCCTCTGGGTTTCGAAGTGTCAACCGAGGAAAGAAATGTAATGAAGTAGCGGCTTGGCGGTCGTGTTTCATTCGGAGCCACATCAAAACCAGGGGCAATCATATCCATCACCACCACATAATCACCATCGGACAATCCCATCGGCCGTTCGTTAAATTGTATAATTACTGGAAATTATTATCCATCTATTCGGTGGGCTCAAATAGGTAAAAGCTCGGCCCAAGTTTTTCAGTTCAGGCCACCGATCCAACTACAGTCTCTTGCTCAAGTCTCCATCTTACTTCATAGTTCAGTCACTAGTCAGTAGCCTCTGCTCCGAAACGAGAACGATCAATGGCGATGGCGATGGCGATGCAGCGGTGCGGCGGGGCAGCGAGGCGGACTCTGGCGGCGGTGACTCAGCATCAGTTTTCATTTTCGTCACTGTCACCGTCTTCTTCTTCTTCTTCTTCTTCTTCTTCAGCATCGTCCATCCCCTATTCAGTGCTAGGGTTCCCGATTCAGTGCGGCCGAGGAGACAAGAAGACAAAGAAAGGGAAGATATTCATCGGCTCGTACGGGAACTCAAGGCCGAAGAAGGACAAGAAGATTGAGCGGATTAAGGACAAAAATGAGCTCCCCAGGTCCACTCCTTGGCCCCTTCCCTTCAAGCTCATCTGAAATAATCGATCTATGGCTTTCCTTTAATGTATTAGATTTCATACGCAATTAGGTTTTTTCCCGAGTTTGCTCTGTTCGTAAGTTTGGAACCCTTTTTGGGTTTTGATCTTTTTTTGGCTTTTGATATTTGCTAATGAGGAATGTGCACATTTTGTTATGGAGCTCAAAATAAAGCTGTGTGCTTTTTCTTGTGGCTATGAATCTGTGACATGATTTTGCGCACTTTGAAAGTTATATCTATGTTTTAGTTGAAGGAGGGGAAACACATGAATTCCTCTGTTTGCGTCATAAGCTGTGATTATGAAGGGATTCTTTCGGCTAGTTTCTTCTCATTGTAGTGATCAAGTTGCTCATTTCCATGGAAGGACTTAATCAGAAGGGTGAGATATCTTAACTATGAGTTCTGACTTCTGAGTGAAGAACTTTGGTGGCTGTTTAGTAATTGAATTATGCAAGCAAGAGCACATGGCATGAATAGCTGATCTGTTAAGTTTCAAGGTACGGCCTACCATTAGTTCATAGCGAGTTAGGAATGTGACATTTCGGCACTTGAAGTTACTGCTCTAGAATTTAGATACTAGTTTCTTCTCATTTTAGTGATCAAGTTTCTCATTTCCTTGGAAATGGAAGGACTTAATCAGAAGGGTGAGATAGTTCTAAGTGGAGAACATTGGTCGCTGTTCAGTAAATGAATTATGCAGGGAAGAGCACATGGCATTTCGCTAAAAATAAGAAAAGCACACGGCATGAATAGTTGATATGTTAAGCTTGGAGGTTAGGCCCTACTTATAGTTCATAGTGAATTAGGAATGTGAAGTTTCGGCACTTGAAGTTATTGCTCCAGAATTTAGATAGTATCCTGGACGAAAAGGAAGTGAATCTCCAGCTATGTAGTGTTGAAATAGCTCTGACATATAGAGACGGAACCTTCTGATCTTATTCCAATGAATTTTCAGCATTAAGCATGGGAATGTATGTGTATATATATGCATCTGACAACATTGGAGTTCAACGATAGAATAGATGAATCATAGGTGCCCTTATGATCCCGGAAAGGGGTTGAATTCCTTGCCTTAACCTTGATACTGATATTTCATTCTTTCTTCTTCCGCTGCTGCATTTGGGCTGATAAGTCTACCACTTGATCCACTAGTATCCCCGGTCTAATGATGAAATACATGAAACCGAATGTTCTGTAGGCATTCCAATGGAGATTGGTAGCTAGTGTTTTTTGCTCTCTTCTACGTTCAGATGCTAGATGGAACCCCGTGTAATTGACCCGCCAAAGAATGGACAGTGTAGTAATGATACCGATGATTTGAGCACTTGCCCTTGAGATTGCCTGCGTCTCTGCCCCTTGCATTCTCAGCTTGTGACTCCTGTAAAAGGAGGGTTTTCTACAGAATTTGGCAGATGGAGTTGAGATATTGAATCTTCTTTATTTGTTTTCTTGGAGTGAATTCGCAGGCAAAGTCCTGCTCCCTTATCGGAGAGGCATCCACTAGACCCCCTACTTTTTCTATGGATTTCTGGAATTTTCCAGCAGCTCTTCCAGAAACAGAATCCTAGTTTCCTGCTGGTTGTAGTGACTCTAGGCACATCAGAACCCTAGTTTCCTAATCTGTTCAATTTTATTCGTTAATATTGTCTGCCTACTGACCTTGCTTATGGGTTCTCAGAACTAGCATGCTATTCTTGGTTGAAGTTCCAAAAAGAGATAATTCATGGATACTGGAAACCTAACCATTTATGAGCATGGTTTTGATTTTGTACTTATTTATGCGCGAGTATGAGTGCAACCCCGAACTACTATCCGTATCCGATCCAACTTGTTGTCATCCTACCGCCCTCCATTTCGAACATATATAGAAAACCCAACAGAAAGCCCTAGTGTCAAATGGGGGAAAAGGTAAATTATTTGGCGGAAACAACGAACACAAAAGGGAAATCCAAATCCATGAAATAAGATAACCAGCAAAGTGACTATGTGGTGCTAAAGTCACCCAAAGGAAGAAAAAAAAAAAAAAAAAGCCTGAAACCAGTAATCTTCTATCCAGAATCTCTTGAAATCATACATTAGAAATCATCAAGAGAAAGCCCAATTCCCTGCAACTTCAATTGTGTGAGTTGGTCTATTCGTTCAGCCATCTGGGGAGTCAAATAGTTGTTCCAATCCCTCACAGTTCCTTTCCTGAAGAAGTGGACATTTGGTACCTTGCCTATCTCTAGTACACCATTCTTGTTAACTTCCAACTCCTTGAGCCTACCGAAGCTACTACGCCACAACACTTTCTCCACCACCACCTCATCATCATCATCTCCATCGGCCGCTGTCGTCGTGGAAAACAGCTTCCCCAGAAACGAAGCCAGCTTCCTCACTTGCTCTTTGGGGTCTCGACGCAGCTCCTCGTACTTGAGAAACAACACCTTGTCCGGCCGCTTCTTGCTCTCTTCCCAGTAGCCCACCACGTGTTCGTAAAAGGGCCCGAAAGGCAGAACCCCACTGCAGAAGCTCTCCACTGCTCCCTCCATCGGGAATGAGGCAGAAGGCATCGTCGGGTTGAGTTTTACAATCTTGTTGTAGAAATGCCACATCGACACCAACATGTCCTTCGGGTTCCGGGCCAGGTGCACGAACTTGCACCCGGAGTTCCTCACGGCCTCCGACAAGCAACTGTAAGGCAAATGAGTGTGGAGCAATCGGCCGGTGGTGCGACCCGAATCGAGCAGAGCATGTTGGACTTGATCCGCAAGGTAAACGACGTCGAGCGCGGGAACGACGTCGTGCGGTTTCATCTTTGTCAGAATGTTGTCGTCTTCTTCGAGGTGGAGGATGTTGTGGCAGAGAGCCATGAGCCAAGTTGCTCCTGTTTTGGGGAAGGATGTCAAGGGAATGTCGTCGCTTCGCGGCTGGAACTCTGACCTGAATGCCGCCATGGATTCCAGGTACCTCTCTGCGAACCAGAATCCTTCTATCTGGTGAACCTCGGTGGCACCCCAAAACACCTCCTTTGGTGGAAGTTTGTTCCTCATCGTCTCCTAACTATTAGCCATACTAGGATCAATACCCGCGGCTACGCCGCGTGATTAAATATGCAGCAACATGACCACTTGGTGGCAAGCTTAGGCAACAACAAACTGCGAGTCGTTGTACTACTAACAACGGTGCGGGTTTAGAAGTTTTGAAAGTGTGTCCAATAATTCACGGGAATCTGAACGAAGAGAAACATCACATGGTTGATTTTAATTTGGATATCACCGTTTGAAAAATCACTAAAAATTCTCAAAATCTACTACGAAAACCAACCCAAATCGCAGGAATCAAGCTAACAATTACTTATTTTGAATTGCGTGGAAAAGGAATTCAACACTGGGATTGATCACGCAAATGAGATTGAATGTGGCAACAGTAACACGAACAGGAATGTAGCATTATCAGTAATCAAACGACCACTATTTCTATCACGTTGCTTCACATCCATCCCATTTACAAACAGATTTTTCAGTTTCTTTGTACTGTTATCCTCTTAAAGTTGTCTGTGAATTGGCCAAGTTCATCTTGGAAACTCTAATGTTGTGGCCATAAATGCATCTTGGATTTCAGCACTTCACACATGGAAATTGACATATCCAACAACATGCCATCAAGAACCGCACACTGAAACTCTGCGAAAGGACAGGAGATCTTTTAAAAGTACAGGTGATTTGCAACCAACATAGATATATCATATAAAATATCTCTAAACCTTAAAGAAGCAAAGAATTATCACATAAGAGAGAAAACAAAATTCCATCTCCAGTTAACCTGAAGTACTCTTGATAGCACATGCTTGACGGTTAATCTAATATCAACAGGAAGACCATCTTCCTTATATTATGATATTTTCCCATCAGCAGTAACTGTTAGGGCTGTAATAAAAGAGAAACCAAACCCCAATTTGAAATGAGGAAGCCTTTGTACAATATACATATACATTATGCAACTTGGACGTTGCTAGTTGTTCAATAATTGTTCTGAATTTTACCTTCCTTTGATGAGGGATCCTTAAGCCAGGTATCAATAAACTGCTGATCCCATGGAGCAACAGAGGTACCTGCACGGTCCATAGCTCTCAATTTGTGAGTAGCAGAGTCAGAGCCAATGATGAGCATGCATTCCTATCTCAATGGAGCCAAGACCTTGCTCATGTTGTAGTGATACGTTCTGTCTCTGTCAGACTAGACAGATAATTCACACACTTGAATGTCAGCCTTTTGATACATGAGCATGAATGCCACCCATGCTCTATGATCCGCTCTTCTTTTCTTGTATTCCACTACTTCATCAAACCCACATCGCATAAGCAAAGGGCTATATTTTCTAGCACAAAACTGTCTATGACTGAAAAATATAAGAACATCAATATATCAAAACGTAAACTGAATTAAGCAGAACACAGAGGAACTCAGAAACTATATACAGCTAGCAAATTTGAATAAATAAGTAAATAACATGTATATGGTAAACCTTCAGTTCAATTTGACAGGAACAATTAAGTTAACGTAAATAGGCTACCTACATACTCTAGATATGTAAACAACTTTTCTGATCTGGTATTGTAGCAGCAGCATAGCAGTTAGTTTAATAAAGGTTAGAATGTTGGTGAAGAAGAATTATTACCAAGGGAAGAGAGCTTGAGAGTCCAACTGTAAGCTAACAAAGCCATTTCCTCCATTGTTTGCTGTTTACAGCAACTTCTAGGAATCTGTAAGAAGATACACTCATATGGTTGGTTTTTACCCAGATTGTAAACTAAAAAACCCCTCATGGAAAGAGGATTGAGTATGATGATTGAGTTTTAGTCAAGGGTACCGAGAAATGGACGTCAAACCAAGTTTCTTCTCAAGCGAATTCACCTCCTACAACAGAACGCGAAGCTCTAATTGGACTCGGGTATGATCACAATCTCATGAACTTTCTGTCGACAACGATGCACCAACTTCACAGGTTCCCTGAAACATAATGTTTAAGTCACAAACTCGTGTCCCTTCCAATTTTGCAATCAAACAGAAACTGCCTAAGAAACTCAAAGTTCTTATACCTCGTCCTTGTAGCAACCTACTCTTCATCTTGATGTGAAGTGAACCAAAATGAACTTGTCACTTATGTAATGCTTTTTTTTTCTTCTTAAAAGCTCTCCTCCACCCAGGACAACCATTCCCTAGCTGCTTATTGTTGCTGGTTATCTCCATAAGCATATTGTAGAAAACTCCTCTATGATATTGCTGGGGAGAACTCCTCTAAGATTCTGTGAGATAGAATCAGACAATGACTCCATTAGCATTTGCTCAGCTCAACTTGAACTGTTAGTGCAAAGCCTGGATAGGGAAAAGGCAGTGAAGGAGCATGACTCATACAATGTATTTACCCATAAAAGTAAGAAAGTCAGTCTGAAAATTATAATACATTGAAGCTTGGGTCAAAGCATACGGAGACCATATCTGTTAACTAAAACAACATGATCAATAACATGAGAATGCTATTATTTCCACACCTTAAACCTCGCTTCCAGATCCGTTTCCTTCGACCTCGCCTTATCGATCTCCTCTACCTCAAGATCTGAGGGCAATACTTTTCCTCCACCTCTCCTCTGTCGATGAAAAATGCTGCAACAGAGGAACTTTCAGCGATAGTCCAAACATCTGTTGTTGGCAAGAAGAAGCAGAGATGAGCAAAAGTGGAAGTGAAAAAGCGATAAACCGCCTGAGCATGAAGTCGCCGCTCACCAAGAAGAAACATTTTAGCAGCTCTTCCGGAAGTAATAGCTGCGGGAGCTTTGGAGGCGGCAGCGGCAACAACTTCGGAAGATCTAAGACATCTTCTCCCCCTATCTTCGTTGCTTTCTTTAGAGAACGCAAGGAAGTCATCTCCTCTGAAGGGATGGAAGACAATGTGCATCACCGATGCATCTATCAAGAGCTGTAGGCTTTTGGACATCGACTTTCTCTTCCCTCGATCCACCATTGGATTCGATCTGCATCGCCATTTCCTCCACCCCCGCCATCGCTTCTCTTATTAGGGGAGTTGGTTTTCCTCTTTTGAGACACCGAGAGAGAGAGAGAGAGAGAGAGAGAGAGAGAGAGACGGGAGGATATTTGTTGTCCTCCTTCCTCCCTTCTTGTTGGCCGATCCATAAAAGCATCCTCCCTTCTTGTTGGCCGATCCATAAAAGCATGGGGCGATGAAGTGTTTGAGTAGGTTTGGTTTCTTTCTTCACAATATTGAGAAGCAATCAGGAGTGGTGAGAGGAAGTGAGATGATTGAGGAGGTGGCGTGAGAATACAGATTTTGGGGCAAGTTCGTGAGAGAAGAGGAGGTAAGGTGGAGAAGCACAGTTGAGTGGTTAGAGTAGCAGAGTGGAAAAGCATGGTGAATTGTGTAGCAAAGGCAGAGAAGATGTCAGAGTCTATTCACTGAAAGCAGGTCGAAGGATGGCGAGAGGAAGAGGTGGGTAGGGCAGGGAAACTTGGAAACCTTTGGAATTGGGAAACTCTTTCGCAAAAAGGCTCCAAAACTCGCTAGAAGACAGAAAGTGATACAGTAATAGGCAAAAAGAATCTGTGTAACTGTTAGCTTTGCTATAGGAGAGATGTAGAGCTAGCAGGTCTGTTTTATGACGCAATTATAACAGAGGGGTCATCTGTGTTCTTCTGGTAGACTAGTGAATACTTGGTCACCAATTTGTGTTCGTCGTCAATGTCATGTGGCCGGCTCAAATTGTGAAGGACTTGGGCCTGCAGCTTCTGTTTACGGTTGTTGTTTCCTTCCTGTGCTCCCTGTTTGTTTGGACGGCCGGCTGTGTTCGTTTGCTTTGTGGGAAGTCTGTCCGCGTGCCGGACAGCATCTGGAAACTCCAGGCGTCCAGCGGTTTTTGTTTTTGCATCTGTCTGTGTGGATTTTTGCAGCACTTCCAGCTACTGTCTTTTTGCAGTTTCCCTGTCCTTGTTCTTCTTTCCTGCCACTGGTCGTCTTTTTGGCCTTCTCGGCTGAAAGTTCGACCTGAAGAGTACCGGCCAGTTGTAGTAAGAAAATGCAACAGTAGTAGCATTCATGACTGCATGACTGTGATTGGCTTACCTTGTAATCTTACAGTGAGCATATTTTTCCCTCATGAGTGTAGTCTGGTAGTATTATTGTGTCCAAAATCAAAAGTCTAATTGTGTTAAGAAAATGGAAAGGTTGCATTCATGATTGGGCTACGTAGGGCTGCTGCAGAGGATCAAGATACATAGTGTAATATAAGACCATCTCCATCCCTGCAATAGGTTAGCCATTTCATAAATGGACCCCACATCCACATCATCAACTTTAGCAACTATTCAATTCAACCATTTCAAGCCACCTACATCCCTGCAATAGGTTAGCAATTGCAATTGATGGGACCTACTACATATTCTTTTCCTTAACAATACATTTTATGTGTACAAAGTGGATAGAAAAGAAAGAAAGAAAAAATAAGGAATTTGAGTGCATGAATGTGTGGGTCCCAATTGCTTATGTGGCATTGCAAAGAGGATTGCTTATTTAGCAATCTTGCTAAATAAGAAAGAAGTGCTACATCCTTGCAATTGCTTAAAGCTATTGCCACATAGGATTCCACCCAATAAGCAATAGCAATAAGCAATTTGATGGAGATGCTAACAAGGAGCAAATAGGATAAATGCCTCTAATGTTACTACTTTATGTTATTCTATTCTACATAATTAGTGGGTACATTTTTTGCCCAAAAACACTCTTTTACTGTTTCAATTTTTGTTCTTTAGTGAAAGGGCTCCCTACCTCCCCAATCCCTCACTAGACTAAAAAGAACCGAAGGACTCCAAAACTGAAAAAAAAATAGGAAGGTTGCCCCATTTCTTTCTGCCGCCCCCTCCCCTGCCAAACCATTCTCTGTACACTTCCCTGTCCAATCACATCACTCCCAATTTTTCTTCCAATCAACAATCATCTATCCATCTCTGAACTTTGCACCATCACTCTATCAGTTCTACATTTCCTCTCCCATGGCTTTTTGGTCCTTTTTACTTCCAAATGTACATAAAAAAAGTAGTACTAAGATTCACTTGGACTAGATTTACATTATAAATATTCGTTGCTTTCATTAATTCTATAACACAAGAACAAATATTTTTGTACAGAAACAAAGATGATTATGATGCCCCATGCATGGACAGAGGTAATCCAATATTATACCTCTTTGACATTCCTCTGCTATAGCCCTATTATTACCCTTCCTCTAATCTCCCACCCTAATAAACACTCTTTCATGACCTTCCCCTTTCACCCAACCAAAACTACAGCTGCAACACTCCCCATTTCCACACCTAAAAAATGAAAATTTTCCCCAACAAAAAGGAAGCAGAAGAGTTGAAAATACCAATGAATGGACAGCCCAGAATAATAGGGGGAAATGTACAATGGACAGAAAAGAGAGCACAATAACTTAATAATTAGTTTGCTGCTGCTCCAACATTTTACTCAACTGATGCAGCCCCTTGGGTGTTCTCCTCCCCCACATCAGATAGAGATTTAGTTGGGAGAATGGAGGGAGGAGACCATTGATCTGGGACCATCAAGAAACAGGTAGTCATTGCCCCTCTTATCCCTTTCTTAACTATTTCCTAAAAATTCAGCGGCCACCTATAGTTCTCGCTTCCTTTTTTTCTTCGCTTTGAGATGCTGAGGAAGAAGATGTGGCGATGATGTCAACATCTAATTGGGAAAAGCCGTGTCGACAGCAAAAGGGGAAGCTCTGGCTTGAATGTGCTTTGTCAATTGATAGCCAACGCGCCATGAAACCTGTCGGCCGAGGAAGCGCCTCTACCGGCCATCATTGCTCAATCGCAACCGGAGATCATTTGGTCGTCAAATACTTAATGGCGAGGGGAGACAAAGAGAGGTCAGTCGGTCAAAAATTCGGGTATAATACCTAGCTAGCTTGATCAATTTTTTTTTTGTCTCAACTGGATCAGCTTTACTAATGTTTTGTCACGGTGGTGGCCGGTTCCTGTTTGCAGTGGCCTGAAGTCCTGAACGACGAGGATGACAGTGGCTAAAACAATCTCTTGACTACCTGAGCAGGACCAGTATGAAGCGGTAATCAAAGGAGGAACTTAGAAGCCCACCAATAGGTATGCTTTGGTCTTACTCTGTTTGTCTTCCTCTTTGTTCCTTTTATGGTTCTCGATTCTCTTGCTTCCCATCTCTAGCAACTGCTTTGTACCTTGACGTACCAATGTACCTGCGTTGTTCTTTCTTTAGTCCATCACTTGCAATGGAATGGTTTTCTACAAAACAAATTTCTTACTCCAAGCCCATCATGATGAGGAGGAAGAAGGTCACCATCACCAGTCTCCAACTTCTCTCAACCCAATTCTCTGTTCCTGGACTGCAAGACTTCCATGGTAATTAAGCTTTATCTTCCGATTCTTTTATGGTAATTCAGAACTGGGTGGGATGATTGATTTGTTTTCTTTTAGGGATGGCATAACGCTACCTCCCTTGATTTGTACGGTCCTCGCCTTCCTTCCCTCGATTGGTGAATTATCTCTCCTATTAGTTCCTTCTGGGCACCGCCTCCCCGCGTATCTCTTCATTGACCTATTTTCTTTCTATTCTGACTTCTTTTCCATATTATTTCAATCTTTTCATGCTTTTCCCTTGGTGTTAATGCATGAAGTGGAATCTAGACAACTCACTGACCATGGTGGTTTATATTGGGTTTGAGATCGTTTGAGGCTAAGATCATCCATCTCTATTGTCCATCGTTTTTTCCAACACTTTCACTCTCAAACTCAGTTTATGTTCTTTCTAATAGCAGTAGATAGCTGAAACTGGTCTCTCGCATGACGGTTTAGGTTGGTGTTGAGATCGTTTAGTTTCAGGTAGCCTAAGCTTGGTACTACTGGTATAATTGTTCCAACAAATTTTTTAATGGTCATAAGGGTTTGTTTTCTTGGATTTTTCTTATTCGTTAGGTGCAACTGAGGGTTCTTTGGCCCCATAAGATCAAGGTCATTTACCTCCCATACAGAAAAGGTAGCGATTCCCTTAACAGTGGTGGACCGAAATCTAGAGACCCATGAACCATCTAGGAAGATCAAGTTGCACTTGCCAGAGATTTGAGTCATCCTATAATGATGCAGGTCTCAATCTTCTAAAATGATTTAACCATTCCGCCATTTATTGTAAGGAAGGTCTGAGTTACTTCCACAACATGAATCGACAATATAGGTATTGAACTATTAGGATGAAAGGAATAAATATATGAGGGAAGATTGGACTAGAAATTGATTGGTTTTTGTTGGGCCAGTAAACATGGCTTAGCCCAACCCAAACCACAACTACAATCTGTTGGGCCAGTAAACATGGCTTAGCCCAGCCCAAACCACAACTACAATCCATCAAGTATGTATGGGCCCAAACCCACAAAGTATCCTCATGATCCTACAACTAAAGCCCACATGAAGAAGGCAAGCTTGGCCTATAAATACACTACCAAGCACTCCAAGTGAGGGATCTCTTCTTCTCCTCTTCACACTTTGGCATATCACTTCTCTCTCTACACTATCTCTCTCTATACATGTTCTCCATGTTTCTCTATCACTATACTAATGTTGATCGTTGGAGTGTAGATAAAGGGGGCCACCCCCGCCCTTTCACAGATCGGGAGCTCCCTTGTTTCTTGGCCGAAACAATTGGCGCGCCAGATAGGGGGCGCCCATCAGTATGAGGAAATAAAGATCCTCAGCCTCCTTTTGTTTTCATTCCCCGTCCAAACCCATTCGGATAGATAAAAAAAGAGCTCCGATATGCTTCTTATTCTAGTTCATTTGGGTTCGTTAGATTGGGCGGGCGTTATATATGTACGTATATAAGGGGCGCCCATCAGTAGGAGGAAATAAAGATCCTCAGCCTCTTTTTGTTTTCATTCCCCGTCCAAACCCATTCGGATAGATAAAAAAAGAGCTTCGATCTGCTTCTTATTCTAGTTCATTTGGGTTCGTTAGATTGGGCGGGCATTATATATGTATGTATATAAGCGCCTCCATTTTATTCAAAATTGCCGGTTCCGCCCACAAATTTGGAGTTTCTTCCTTCACTGAAGTTTCGAGCGCATGAGTGCTCCTATCTCTAATTTTAGTTGCAGGCGCCCAGCTGTCGTTTTCTTTCAATTTGGATGCGAGATGCAATTATGCGCCTCGCTTCATCCTCCCTCTCTGCTACCGCCCTCTACTGCCCCTCCGATTTCGCAACATCGATCAGCTGTTGTTGTTCACCTTGAAATTTTGAGGACTAACGTTGGTGCCTGCTTGGTATTACCCAATTTAGCATGTCCATGCTCTTAGCCAGGCGTTCTTATTCCTCCAGAAGTTTTCCCAGCCGCTTGTAGCCACTTCTTTCACTTTCATAGAGGAAATTGGAGTCCTGGGCGCCTACTACCATTTATCTCCACCTTCAACTTCATTCGTCCCCATCTTCTTTAAATTAAGGCAGCGCCATTCAATATTTTCTGTTTCGATGCTACATCGGTCCTGAGCGCCTACTCATGCAACTTGCAGCAGCACCCTCAGGTGAGGAGGACGAACTGAGCCGTGATACGCTGGTAGAGGGAAGCGCTGGGCGCCCGCTGAATCAGAGGAGAGCACTTTGTCACGTCTCTAAAAAAAAACGGTGGAAATGTCGATGGGAGAATAGGACTAGACGCCTGGAATTAGGTGTACCGGAAGAAGAGGAAAACGTAAAGCAACAAAGTATGGAAAAAGAAGCTAGCTCGGCCAAGATCGCCCGCCTGCAAACTAAGCATTACGCCCAATGAAAGATCGATTTAAGGAAGAGGAAGAGCGTCGAGCATTGATAATCTTTACTCTTGAGATAGTGAGTTTCAGGCGCTCCTCGACATGAAAATTCCCAAAACTAGTTTGATCCCACGTTGCAATGGATAAGAAGCTCAAAAGAGGCGAGCTCTTCTGGGAGCCTCATAGATGGACGCCTGTCCAAAAAAAAAAATGACACGAGGGGATGGCAAGGATGCTTACACGAGCAGAGAGCGGAAGCCGGCAAAGCACTTGAGCCGCCGCACTTAGGCGCAATTGTCGACAAATTAGGTTGCCTCAATCCCATCTCCGCCATTTGGCGCCTGTCTTTTTTCACGCCGAAAAAGACGTTCGTCGTTGTCATTGGCTTTACAAAGGGAGGATTGGGGGAGCCGAGCATCAAGGGAAATATCAGTGGGCAAACCCAAAGTTTCGACGCGTAGGTACAAATGCAGAGCATCTAATTTCAGCTTCACTTTGATTGTGTCATCGGGAGAGTTCTTGTGATGGGGGGATAGAAAGCAAATGCACTTGGGCACTGGCGGAATAATAATAATAATAAAAAAGAGGTATGGAAACCCAGAATCGTCCATGATGGAGAGGAAGAAGCGCAATAGCACATAAAGGAGGAATACAAGAAGTTGTTGCGGGCGCCCGTTTAACTCATTACCATAGAGAATTCAGCCCATGATCCCAATCACATGGACTCTGTTGTTGTTTTGAAGCCCGAGATGCAAACGGCCCATATAAGGCCCAAGCGCCTTATATTTTTTGGGGTGAAGATTGGGCGCATCAGATCCACAAAAATTGCATTGAGGCCCGACGCCTCTCTCAATCCGGTCGATTTGACTCTCTAGGCGTTCAAATTGCATTGAGCCCGATAGACAGCCGGCCCATATAAGGCCCAAGCGCACACTAATTAAATTAAAATGTTGGCGCATGGTGTGAGATTCGAAACCAGTACCTCTCCAAGAGAAGACAACGAAGTCGACCACTCATCAACAACCCAACATCTTGTTGCAATTTGGCGGACGCTTATTATTGATCAAGATACAGTCGGAAACTGTTCGCGTTTGTAAAGTCATCTGTGCGCCTTGACACATTGTTGTGGGCGCCTGCTATTGAGAGGAACGCATATGCTTCAACAACTTGACGACATGCTTGCACCTGTGAATTTAAAGAGAGCGCCTATCTTTTATAAGAATTGGTTGCATGGGCTTCAGAGCACACTTCAAAGCTAAGTACTCGATTTCTGTTCTTTGTGAAATTTAATTTTACTTGCACCAGATATTTTGGTTTTTGCGAAGTACTCGTCGCACTCAAATTTAGCGCCTTTCGTTGGAAATACAATACGCGTCCAAAATTAGCGCCCCTGGTTGGTAATACTCGCCGCGCCCGAATCTAGCGCCTTGGTTGGTAATACTCTCCGCGCCCACATTTAGCGCCCCTGGTTGGTAATACATTCCGCGCCCAAATCTAGCGCCTTTTGTTGGATATAATCTCCGTCCAAATTTTATGCCATTGATTGAAAGTACTCTATGTGACTAAATTTGGCGTCTGTGATACTCGTAAGGCCCCTAAATAATGAAAGGTACAAATGGCAACATGGCATCAAGTTGGGAAAAATATCATGCCCACTGAAGGCGCCCAAGTATTTGGGGCGGGAAAGTAAAAACAGCGGCAAGGCTACAAGGGAATATTTCAGAGGATAAGGCTTTGTGATATGATTTTATGCAAGGAGTGCTAGTGCTGCCAGACCAACTCGACAGTGGAATTAAGATCCACCATGATTGGCTTATCCGAGCGCCAAAGACTTACTAATCAAACGCCCCAATTCTAACCACTAAAGAGAAGTCTCAAGAAATAAGCTAAGTCTTTTCTATCTCTACTCAAGTTATATTCTTAGTTATGGTATGAATGAAATTATGTTGCATCATTTAGAATATTTGTGATCCTTTCTTTGTGTAACTAATATGGTAATGGGAGACATGAACTGGGGGACAAAACACTAAAGGATCTTACATGAAATTTGACCAGTGTGAGGACTTTAGTTAGTCGTCCAGTGTACCACTGGGTGCCTAACTGAGGGACAGTTGGGGGTAACATGTGCATGCGCATTCGGGATTTTTTCTAAGGCAAACAAATCTTTAATTATGTGCCGAAAAATGTCATAGCCTTGTTAGGCATCATATGTGCAGTAAATAGTTTTATCTCATTGCTTGAGTTATATCGTTAACTATGTTATGAGTCACATCATGTTACATTGATAATTCTCTACATAGTTTCTCTCGGAATTCCTAAGCTATTATGATCTTGGGGATAATTGGAGGGACAACATGCAACTTCAAAATCTTGTCTGGAGAAAATGAATCTCCGGTTAAGTGCATAGGGCGCCATAACCTTGTTAGACGTCGAAAGAGAAGTAAGTTTATGTGTAAGTTCTTATTTCGAGATTCTTCGGCAAACATGATGTTGGGGGACATGAGTCAGCTAAGTCAGGAGACAAGATGGCGCTTAAACAATCAAGCGTGCAACTCTAAGTTCGTAGTAAAGCTCGCAAGGCAAAGACTTCTAGTTAGGCATCCAGTACGCTACTGGATACCTAACTGGGGGACAATTGTTGGGCCAGTAAACATGGCTTAGCCCAGCCCAAACCACAACTACAATCCATCAAGTATGTATGGGCCCAAACCCACAAAGTATCCTCATGATCCTACAACTAAAGCCCACATGAAGAAGGCAAGCTTGGCCTATAAATACACTACCAAGCACTCCAAGTGAGGGATCTCTTCTTCTCCTCTTCACACTTTGGCATATCACTTCTCTCTCTACACTATCTCTCTCTATACATGTTCTCCATGTTTCTCTATCACTATACTAATGTTGATCGTTGGAGTGTAGATAAAGGGGGCCACCCCCGCCCTTTCACAGATCGGGAGCTCCCTTGTTTCTTGGCCGAAACAGTTTTGGTCATGTTTCTTCAGAGTTTTTGGATTATAGGAGTTCAAAGAGTTTTAGGGAACAATGGGAGATAAAAGGATATGTAGTTTTTATATAGAGTTATTCAAACTAAAACATTTAATATGCGTGTATGCCTGATCTGAAACTGTATTTGTCTTGCAAAAATACCCATCATTCAATCAAGTGGAACAACCTATCAAAGAATCACTGTTGAAGCATTGTGAAATCATTATCGAAGTGTAAGTAGAGTTACTTAGTCATGAACTTCGTGGTATTGATTATTTGGCTTGCAAGGGTTTTGCTTTAGCTGCACAAATAGAACCAAAATAACAGAGCTATATGTTTCTCACAGAATCAATGCACTTTGATTTGAACTTGAGTTTACTTTCTATAATCACATAAAAGATGTACT